TTTTACTGCAGCACAAAGTAAAGTACAAGATGATCGTGAAATGGCGATCAATACAAAGCTTGCAAATATCCCTCGTAATCTGACGAGACTACAAAAAGAACTTGACGATAAAGTTCAAAAAACAATTGAGGATGCGTTACATCCCCTGGGAGAAGGACTTTGTGGCATCTCAGAATCATCCAAAGTTACAAAAGATTTCCTGGGTCAAAAAATAGACCAATTGCCCACACGCATTTTCAAAGATATCAATGCGCTGACGCGCGCAACGGAGGCACAATATTCTGCGACCTTGCAATCTGTGCAAAGAGTAGAGAAGGTCTTACAAGATAACACATCTGACATCAAGGCTTTAAAGTCATCTCTAATTGGCAATGCTTTATCACCAGACGAGGAAAGGGAAGAGCGGATGTTGGCGACAAATGGCTCCAATCCACAACAGACTTTATTAGAAGTTCAAATGCATTTTAAACAGGTGTCAGTGGATTCAATCACTCCGTATTAGTCTTTGATCTGACAACAGATGCAGTACCTTGTTATTGGCACGACTTGTACGTGAGCTCTTGGGGCAGTTTTGGTAGGTATATATTGCCGCTCAAGCAAGGTTGACGCTAATCAAATCATGATCCACCACAGGCCATTTATTGCACCCATTCTTCTTCATCTCCAAATCTTGAAGGTCCACATTGTCCATGCCCCTAGCTTTCTCTTAAGTGAAAACATAATGTTTATTGATGTATTCAATCGACCAAGAAGTTTGCCGTATGGTATTTACAGAAACTGGGAAGTGAGTTGGTGTGATCCCATTGTATGCCGCCCTGGTGCTAATGATGGTAGACTTTCACTCGCTTCCTACATATAAATTTTGAAGGGATACCTGGCAGTCGCCAGATCATGGAGGACAACTTTTGGTTGACCGACAATAAAGGAAGGACGATTGATCAAACCACTTGGGACAGCTTAGTCAAACCCAAAGCCCAAATATCAATGGCTGTGATACTAGATAGCATGGCGATTGGAGATCATTGTCCGAGGTGTAGCACTGCAATTCGAATTCCGGGAAACACAGAAGAACTGTCTGTAAAATGGTAAGAAGTCTGGTTAGATGAACTCTCTGTGACTAGCTAATCAAAGCGAATAGTGCAGGCCATGACTGTGGACTAGAGATAAATATCGTCACAGCCCTTGAAACCTTGACAACACAAACCAGCAAGAGGTTAGCACAACGCCCGAAGTATCCAGTGTCATATGAGATTTCGCGCTCTGTTACCTACTTCGAAATTAAGAACACAAGAGATGAAGCCCGTGAGACCTATAAGGAATTAGATACGGATCCGGAAGAAACACTCATCGAGGAGTCAAACATCAACAAATATAAGAACATCCATGCCGAATATGCTCATCTCGCGCGTGCGGAGCAGCGAAAAGCACCTGACAAGGTAGTATGGGATATTGTAAAACAAGAAGATAATCGGAAAACGGAAGCTTTTGAGCTTCAGAAGTATTTTCGCCGTGTGCTTTTTGTTAGGCAGCCTACTCCGAAATGCCAGATCTGTTCGTTTTCAAGATTCACGTACTATGATGATATAAGTCGTCATATGGTCATCGAACACACACATATCTACGTTTGTATATTTCATTTCGCAGGATGTGCTGCTAAATTCGCAAATAAAGTACAGTGGAAATGCCACGTCGCATGTAAGCATCTGAACTGGGTTTGCGGAGAGAGCGCATGTCTCAGCAAGCAAGATTCGCCAATGAATCATTATTGGAAACAAAACTACCGTATAATGAGGAAGTCCCAGATGGAACTATTCTATCGAGCTCTACGTGATAGAGCTAAAAAGGCATTGGAGGTTTTAGGACGTCATGAAAAGGTTCCGTCGGTAAAATTGGGATGTCCGATGCGGGACTGTGAATTTGAGTTCGAGGGAAAGAATTGTTGGGATGAGAGGATGGAACATATTGCGAAGCATATTAAAGATAATGCTATATATGTAGAAGAATATCCGTGCGGTGACTTGGATGTTGTTCATTCGGATGATCAGATGTTTGTGGAATGGGCCTTGAATGAAAATATATTGGGTCGAACGGTAAGAGGCAAATTTTGGTTGCAGGATACGGATTGATGGGTTGAAATATCTTGGAATACGTAGGTCGAACTTGGTTTATATAGAATAGAGAAATCGAAGTAGACTCCCCCTGCAGACTGATCAAATCCGAAATTTCCTCATATCACAAGGGGTGATCAACGTGAGATCAGACCGTTCTATCTACCAGGATGATACTTCCTGTTTGTACCTTACAGAAGTTTCTACCAATGACTCTTCACTCTTCTACTTTTCTACCATTCCTTTAACAACCCCTTCCCGCCCTTCAACAATTGTTGCATGCTTAGGAAAACTTGGAAGCGTATGTGCCTACCATGATTTAATAATCCCCCCTAATCCTCATCACAATTATTGATCAAAGTTATGCTCCCTAGCAGGTACGTATCCCTTGCCCCCATAGTATCACAAGTTGGAATCTCAACCATCTTGCTCCGAATTATCCGGACCTCTATCTCTCTTTATTCCAAAAGCATATCTCGAACCTTCACCAGGACTTTTGTCCTTTTCCCACTCGCTCTGCAATAGAGATTTCATTGCTCTTTCTTTATCCACTGATTTATTTTTCTGCACAATCGCTTCATCTCTCGACTATCACTTTCTCTCTCTCCATTTTCGCTCTCTCAATCTGGTTATTTGCCTGTAGAATTTTCTCGTCCAGTCTGTCTTTGTCGGCTTTTAGTTGTCCAATTTCCATTTTCATCTCGCCATGTTTCTTTTGAAGTTTATTGATGGTGGCTTGGGCTTCTTTGAGATCAATAGTAGCAGCGCTCTTGGTTTGGGTGCCAGAGAGCTTTTCTTGAAGGGCTGCATTTTCGGATTTCATGTCATCTAGTTCTTTCTTGGATGTCTCGAGTTGGGTTCCTTGAGCGGCGTGGGCTTTCCTGGTCTTTGCGAGCTCTCCTTTCAAATTTGCAATCTTAACATTCAAGTCTCCAATCTTGACACCAAGGGCATCCGTGGCGGCTTGTGATTTGATGGAATTGGACATCTTCTGTGCTTCGAGTCGTTCACACAATTGTGTGAGCCTTGCCTTTTCTGACTGGGTATTTTCGAGTTGCTTTGATAAACTTTCCTTTTCAATTCTCAGGGATTCGAAATTAGATTCGAGCTCCTTGATCTTTGATAATGCTTTTTCTACGTCCTGTCTCAGAATTTTGCGGCATGACTCGAGCTTCGGCAGAAGTCATATCATAGGACATTCGATCACGCAAAGGTTTGCAGGGAGTGACATATAGTGCTTTATCCGGTTTGCTTGCTTGAACTGGCAAATTTCCTTTTGAACCAGTGTTAGAAGTTGTAGTAAACATAGTTGCCTTGGGAAAGTCCTCATTTTCTATCTTATCGGCTGCAGCTAGCATTTTCGTCGTCGATATGTTGGATGTTGGCTTCATGGACGAGGGGGGAAAGCCGAAAAACGCTATTAGTGTTTTTGCTCTTGATATCTTCGGAAAGTATGATTCCGTTAAAAGGAGACTTTCGAATACTATCTCGTTATCACTTGATGTGGAAGACACTGTTTTCTGAGGACATCCACAGTTTGCTATATCTGCAGATTCATCATTTGAACCTTGATCTCCTGATGATATAATGTTAGTAAAGACAAAGTTAATAAATAACAGTACATATGGGTAGGAACGTACTTCGTGCTACATGCTCCGAGCGCTTGTGGCTACATGTAATATCTCGGTGTCAGATGATATGCGATTCCAGATTAATATTGTGAACTCGGGAGAAAGTACCAGCTTCGCTGTCTTCCCAAGATATACGTAATTCTCCATTGTTGCGACCATGTGAGATTTGAATCATGCGGGGCATGTGTTTGAGGCACTTCCTGATTTCAGATGTCAAAGCCGAACCTCCTCTCTCTTCATCTGCAATAGAAATTCCTGTGGTTTTCTTACTTCTATCAAGCTCCTGTAGTGTGCGATTGTGAAGGTAGTCGATGATGTGTTCACACGTGAACTCTTCGACTGACGTCACAATTTGAACTGCATACCTGTGATAGAGTGAATTCCATGCCCTTATCCCTATGGATTTGTTCAAAACTCATGTATCTTTTATGGAGAAGTAGCCTTGATTTATCTGGTTGCATGTCAAGACATATATTTAGATCGATATCATCTCCGTCTTTGAACACTACTTCAAAGTTTATTCTGTTGTATAGAGACAAAGTGGCACGTAATATCCACAAAAAGCTCTGGCAGTATGGCGTGTCTAGAATTTTGACAGTATTGGAATCGCCAAATTTCTCCCTCCGGTGTTCTAAGAGCGTCTTTACGCTAGTATATTTCCTCGAAGGCTTCCATAATTCTTCAGATAGAGGAACGGGGTTTTTCTTCAATATCGACTGGATTCTCTATGAAGCAATAATTAGTTAAACGCCTCAAAACTAATCAGTAGAATCTTGAATACCTTGTCAGACCCTAATTTAACATGCTAAGATTTTGTCCCTTGAGGATTCTTTTCTTGGAGCCGGTTCCAAAGAGACTTGGCTACAGATCCGGAAATTCTCGTCGAAGCTCCATTTATATTCAACCAATTCTGCTATGTATTCTGAAACAAGTGGAAGTATGTGCCGATATTATTGCCACTGCATTTCACGGCCTAACCCCATACTTCCATCAGCCAGTCTGGCAGTTGACTGAAATCCCAATTTTTATCTCTATCTAGTCGGCCCCGATAGAAATCGTACCCGTACTTGTATAAGTGTGGTGATGGTGCCCTGCCCCAAAAGACCCCTTTCAGGTAGATTTTGCCTTTCAACTCTTCCTTCAGCATGACAGCACCATACTTTATCTAAATAATTTCCTTAGGCCCAGAGCAGTTGAACTAAAGGTAGATATTCAATCATTTCTTTGCTTGTGCCTCAGTCAGCGGACTTCCAGAACTACTCTAGACAGTGCCTATTTTGACAAAGACATCCTGCGAAGAATTCGGAAGTCTGAATTGAGTTTCATTTCTGTCCCGTGGCGATTCCTTGTTTCCATCCTTCGCGTCGGCCTTGGTTACTGTACAACTTACTGCTGTTCTGTCGTTTATTTTCCATTTAAAACGCCAATAATATCCTGAAGCAGCAATTCTTATTTGATAGCTAGCAGCACGAAGCATCACTATTGCGGCAATTTTCAACCCTTCGCCATACTCTCCTGATAGATCGTCTTTCAAGTCTTTGTCCGTCCAGCCCATTTTTAGAGCTTTTCGAGATAGTTGGCTCTTATAATTGCAGAGTTCCAAACATCCTTTACTTTTATCAAAATGCAAAAAACCAAGAATCTTCCTTGTTTCAGGATGATGAACTGTGATCTTACGCTCATTTGCGGATATTTCATGAACATAGATTAAATTTTCCATAGAGACCGAAAAGGTTTGTATTATCGCGTCTGCCCTGTAATTATATCTTTCGTAAGCTGAGAAGATAGATTTGGATAGATCTGAGCTTCTATGAATAGAGCACTCACTAATTCAGAAGCAATTCACGAAACGCATCTTTCGTCTTCCAGTCCTTAGCATATTCAATACCTATGCTTGGAGTTTCATTATGGACTTTTGCTGTCCAGATATCGCTCCGTTCACCGAGAATCGCAGCAGCTTCGTCGACCTCATCTTGCTCTGCCATTGCTGCAGCAGGTACGGTCGCTCTTTTCTGGATAATTGGACGTAATGTTGATTCGATTTCAGATCGTTAAACAAAACGATCGAGTCGCATTCGCAAGATAATGATTTTTCAAATGACAAGAGACTTAGACCCTCAGCGAAAAACAGATTTGCAGAACTTCCAGAAATTGAAATTGGAACGTCGATAAAGGTTGAACGAAATTGAAAACAAACACACGAAGAACATGGAACCGAGTGGAGAGAAGAAGTTGTTGAGATCAAACATGATAGCGAGGTAAGCATTTTTTTCATCTGGAAAAAGAGGGGTAAGAACTTCCATGACGCTTGATAATTCATTGTCGATAGCAATTTCAAATTAAAAGATGAGAAGAGTTGTTTTTTATGCAGATGAATCTGGATGATTGATGTATGTGAGGTTTATTGGAGTGAGTGAACACTTTCCCGTGCCAGATGAGGAATGGTGATGAGGACTTCATAGAGGAAACGCTTTTCCTTTCTATCAAGATTCATGAGACTTGGGGAGACGAGAAAGAAGGAAAAAATGTGATTTGTTATGATATGATCCAAGTGAAGTGAAAACTTTACCAGATTAAATTTTCACATATTACTGAGCTCTTTCCTCTCTCGTCTCAAAATGAAGAAAAATAGCAGGAACAACCATCACTCTAGGAGACACTCAGATGAAACAAACCAAATCTTGACATCTTGCTTACAACAAAAAAACTTGATGATAATTTGAGTATTCTATTTTCAAACACCATGCCCAAAACGAATCTTCGATAATCTACAACACCAACCAAGTCAATGCTCCCAAGATCGAGAAACTCAAGGCTGATTGTCCCACTAGCATTCCAACCGCCGCATTCTGAGTAGCAGACGCACTGACACTTTCACTTGTGCTTGTAGAACCTCCAGAACCAGTTGTCGTCGCACTGGAAGAATTTTGAGTGGTAGATGCTGAAGCCTGGCTATGAAGCAAGCCTTGTACATAATTGAGGGCATCAATTTGCTCTCCCACACCGGTAGAACTATTCTTGGCATTACCACTCCAATCTAAACCACATCCATTATCTCCACAAGTCTTTACAGCAGCCTGGGCGGAGCTAGTCAGCTGCTTGGTAATGAGATCGCTGGTGTATGGAGCGACGGCGATGGTGTCGACGAGCCACTTGCCTAGTACACCTTTGAAGGCTCGTTGGTCTGTGTTGCATAAATTTTTGGATTCGCAGGCAGCTTCGGTGGCGATTCCGGATGGGAAGAATACGGAGATGGTTCTGGTTAAGAGACCGTCAAGAACTGTTTTCCATTGGGTATCTCCGTTGGTATAATTGTACATATATGCAGCGCCTGCAATGAATGTACCTGCATTTTCTGAGAATTGCACTTTGTTGACCGCAGAACAGTTTTTCGAAACATCGGCACCGTCAAAGACGTTAAAGTCCTCATCAATAAAACCAACCGCTTTAGTCCAATTCCATGCTTTGCTTGCCCAGTCCGAATAAGTGTCGTTATTTTTGGATACAGCAAGACGAGCTGCGAGCTGGAAAAAGTTTCCATTTGTTATTGTGTTCTTGTAGCTATAGCCGGCATTGAAAGTAAAGATTTGCCAGCGAAGACCTCCATTGCAGGTTTTCTCATCCCATCGAAGTACTTGTTCATCGAAAGTTGTCTGAGCAAGGTCAACCCAAGAAACATTCTGATCTTCTACTAGTCGTGTCTCTACTGCGGACATGGCTGCAAGAGCCCAAATGGATTGATCGTCACTACCCATGGAAGCCGTTTGATTTGGCGGCATGAAATCGTCATTGGGACCTCGTTGAGAGGCCAATCCTTGGGTGACAAGTTTGTTGTACTGATAATCGCCAGTCAAACGCCAGTATTGAATCAAAGTGTCGAACATGGCACCGGATTCCCACCAGTAATAAGATGCGCTCAAAACGCCAATTGGATTTCCTGGGGTTTGAGACTGGTTGTAAAGACCGACTAAGTCTTTTGCGATTGTGCCCGCTGCTGATTTGATGGAATCTATATTTAAGGATCTAATCAGCTTCATTCTACAAGATTTCCTTCATCCATCATGACTTACCAGTGCTGGTGACATCAAGATCAATGCCTTGAACCTGGATTATAGAAAATGCCGCAAGGGCAACGAGTGACTTAACTGAAACCATATCTGAAAAAACGCAAAGAAAAAGACAAAGTAAAATGAAGCAATCATGAGAATAAAATATCTATAACAGCGACAACGAATATATAAGTGAAAAATGCCCGAGTCCCAGGGACCAGGGGTCATAAATTTGACGTACAATTACATAGCCTAGAAGTAAGATCTGACAGCGCTTATAGTACGATGAAATTAATTGTTACGAGATTAAAGCCTAATGAGTTTAAGCTTAAGAAAAGATCCGCAGCTACCTAGGATAGTCATTGGACTCGGACTCCAAGCGATGCCTTCTGGTAAGCGAGTGCGGCTTGGTATAGGAGTCGAGATGGGTTGTTCAGAATAGCGTTCCGAGGCTATCATTTCGTGATTTGAAACTCTTGTGTATGCTTGGATCATTTCAAATCGAGTAGTATTGTGTAAAAAAAGTTTGGGGAGAGAAATAAGAACCTAAACTTGTCGGTACTAATGAAACGCAGAACGTAAAATTCGATGATAAGCTTGGCACCAACAAGAGCGTGTATTCACGTGACTTTACACACCTCCAGGCAGTACTAAGGTGAGGGAATACGAGGACCCAAACGGGTTAGCAGCGCCTTAATAAGTCTTGTGTGGAAGATTATTCAGGGCCTTGCAGATCTAAAGATGGATTTTTTCGTGAGCTATAATAGCGTCAATGATGATTGTGCCTCTCTTGGCTTTAGAAATTCTCGTGGAAGAAATCAATGGATTTGAACAGTTCAGCTGTAGAGAAATCTTATTGGAGTTCCTGATTTTCGAATCTGAAGAGTTTTGACATAAAATTATGATATAGGGAGTTTTGGCTGGAGAACGCTTGAAACATGTTGTTGACAAGCGCGCGAATCCTCCCAAGCATTTTGGGATTGAATAACCTTAGACGGAGATCACGAGGAATTTCAAGTCTTAAACGTGAGTTTATAATCATCCATCCTTCTGACATCAAGAGAAGCAGTAGATTTCATCTTTTTCAGTATACTTATGATCTTTATACTCATTGTTTGTCACATCTATCCATACATCATGTGATCGGTGCAAACAGTATAGAGTTTGCAAGTGTCAAAAATGATACAGAGGGCTGACAGAAACGATGTTGTATTCCAACAAGATCGACGATTCAAATTGCACGTGAAGTCGCGTTTTCCTGACCCCGCACTTCATCGCGCGTTTGTTCGTTTCACAAGCTCAATTTTGTCTCACACATCCAGGAGAATACTGACAAAATCAGAATGAATTGCGTGGATGAAAGTAACAGCTGGCAAATATCGCTCGGTGTGAAAGTATGTTGCCGTCGACTGAGTGTCAATCCTGACGCCTTTGCTCGGACTTCTGCTGCGAATGGCCCTCAAGAGAGGCAGATTGCCGTCGTGGGATATAATTATGCTCGATTGAGATATCTCTGCTTTGAAATCTACTTTTGACGGAAATTTACTTCTGTTTAAATTCACGATTTGTTTGCCTTTACAGCTTGGCATGATGACAAGTAATGACTTGACAGGCTACTCTCCCTATTGATTGGGGTGTAATGTTTGCAAGAAGCCGTGGACAAGAGTGTGGAGATCTAGGTTGATTGACATTCTCAACTCTCCGGCTGGCTATTGCGGTTGATCCCTCAGCAAGCCTGATGTTATATTCAGGTAGCTTTTCACTCCTACCCAAGATATGAAAACTTTTGGATCCGACGGAGTGCATGCTGTCAATACAACATGAATTGGATTGAGTTTCTATTCATTGAGATCTGAAACATTACACGGATACCAACATCTGCCGAAGCTAATTCAGACCGTCACACGGATGGATGCGCCTACCGAGACATAGTGGTTGTGGAGCACCAAAGTTGTTATCAAATTGGTGAATTTAAACGCGTCCAGTGCCGCGTTATTCATTCATTCCTCTCTTATTACTGGTACCAAGATATGGTACACTGCATTTGCCTAAGTTAATTTTGTTTGATTCAGTTCCCCGATTGGATTGGAGACATTTTTCCTGAACATTTTATGGAGACGCCAACATCTCTCACCACCCAGGACCGTGACACAAGACTACAGTTGTGTTACCGCATGTTTTTTGAGCCGGGTCTAAGCAATCATCTCGATTACTTGTTGTACCAATGTATCATGGCATATTAGGAGATAGAGGATGCTCATGGTGCAGAGAATTTAATTTTTAGATATAAGTACCACCATTTTTTCATCATTCAGATCAAGCATCTTTTCATTCCTTATCATTAATTTGCCGTCTTGGCCTTTCTCATTGTTACATTCCTTTTTACGATGTGGGTCAACCATCATTCAAATGCCTGTTGGTGAGGCTACCTTTATTACAGTGTTCTCGTCAGACACAGTCTTATGCCTCTAATTTTGATTCTTTTCCTCGCGGCTTTCTACTGTTTTAGGACGGATTTCCCCCCACCGGTCCTCTGCTTGATGTGTTTAACGAGTTTTCTATTAAAGCGGTAAGCCTTTGCAATCACGTTCTACTGTGCAGCTGCTAATTGTTCACTTCACTAGCCCATCTGGTTTATTCATCTGCCAGACCTTTTTTACCCCAGAGGTACATTTCATACCTCTAGAAGCTTCCAAATCGATGAAAAATGGTAGTGAAAGAGAGTGTGTGCTATTTTTACGATACATGGCTTCCATACTTTCCTGAGGTCTTACATTCAGAACTGTCGCTCAATGTAGGAAGTGAGGAATCTTTCACCCCGTTCCCTCACATGTATACTGTATACTGATAAGGGTTAGTTATCTTCTCGACATCTGGACCCCTCTTCTGTTCATATCTTACGCCATCTTTCTCATTGCCAAATTTTACTTACCCAGTACGCTCAATCCACTGGCAACTTTCACTTGTATCTCATGGTACAACAGCCTTTTCCGGTCCCATCACATGGTTTAAAAAGCATTCACAGTTGCTTTTACGGGCGTGAGTTCCACTCTTCATATTATGTTGTAACTATGTTCTAATCAGCCAAACAGATCAGCGCAGACTTTAGCTTCTGTTTTTCTAATTCTGCTGTCTTACTTCTCAGCACCAAGGCGAAGAATCTGTCTCGTCTCTAGAAAGCTTGCAAAGAGTGTGTGCATTCCTCGAAATTTGCAACTCCACAACTTGCCTCTATTTTTTTCAATCAGTAGAAGTAAAATAAAACCCTTCAATTGTTTGAACAACGCTATCTGGGTTATATCAACCAGAAGTGTCTCGAACTCTACGAGTACTACCAACTCTAATAGCACTACCAGCTCTAAGAGTAATCCAACCTATCCAAGTATCCCAACATTCCGCAGCCTAATCTTCTGGCGTCTATCAGAGAGTATCAAAAAGGATACTGGAGTGACCCAAAAAATCTTTATTTGAATCAAGGAGGCCTTAGCCATTCTTGTGTTGTTGGATGGGAAAAGAAACGTAGGAAGATTTTGCCTATAAGGTGGTGTTGAGATGTTAATCAAATACATACCATCACGCGAACTTGAGAGAAAAACTAGAACTCTATTAGTCGAGTTTTATTCGAAAGATGAGGAAGGGTATAAAAGATGAGAGTATGTTCTACCGAAAGCGGCGATACAAAACACAGTCGCGAGGGCCATGGTTTTACGCACGACAGAAGATAGTCCATACGGAATGAACAGCGAGCTTGGAATATTCCCTCAAAAAGGAGACAGCAGAAACACCAAAGATCAACAATCCATCGGAATTCCTCAAAGGAAGCTTGATTCCCAGGGAGAGGATTATCTTCACCAATTAGCATCTATCACATCCGAGTCCAGGAAAAGTCTATGAAGATCGTAGATATAACCACCGGCCGTCGTGCACTAAGTCCATCTTCATACGTGCGGGTCTCCGCAGCACACGTTCGAGTGTTTCTCTTCTCCGCTTTGTATCAATCATTCCCATGATCCATCGGCTCTCTTTCTAAACTCGCTATCAATCATGCCTTCCCCTGAAACTAGGAATCCTAATCCAATTCCAACACCGGAAATCTATCAGCGGGCGACAAGTAAATATCCTATCCTACACTCACCAAGAACATCTATCCCAGAACCCCAATATAAATATCTGGAACCCCCCGTTCGAATTCCCGGACTGAAATGGTCCGACTATTCTGGATTCCCATGCGGGGAGTCGGCTAGTCTATAGAGGGTTCACTTCGGGTTATTTATAAAGACTCGAGTTTGAATTCCCGGACTGAAACGAACCGACTATTCTGGATTCCCACGCGGGGAATTAGTTGTTCTTCAGGGGGATTATACTGGGTTCTTTGTATCAGCCTTTATTATACGTATACTTGTGCTGGAACTTACACATGGACTTATAACGGACCTGAGCTTGGAATGGATCTGGAATTGGACCTGGACCTGGACCTGGACTTGGAATTGGATTTACAATAGACTTTGAAACAAAATCGGAATCAGACTCAGACTCGAGCCAATTCTCCCAAGTCCTCTAATCCATCTATCCCTCACTATTCAAAACTCCATCTATCCCCGAAAACTCATCTACCATATAAAAAGCATGATTGGAGAAGTCCCGCTCTTGTGAGCATTGAGTGAGAGATACGATATGAAATATGAAATGGGAAATAGAAGCAGAACTTTGAAGAATCAGGAGTCTGGAGAATGAAGAATGGGGATTGGAATGGATGGGGATTAAGATGGGTGGATGGAAGATAGAGAATAGAAAATAGAGAGAGCAGAGGGAGTAGAGTAGAGTGGGTGATGCTCAATGGGGAAAGAGTAGGATGAATGAACTATTTATACCTAGTTTTGAAGATATCTTTGTGTAACATGGTCTCTTTTCCTCTGGTGTAATTGACTTGCTGGTTTTATGTGGTGCTTGTGTGATATACTGCGGCCCATTTGAAACTTTGCGATACTCAATTTTGAAATGTGTGGATAGAGTTGTACTTGCAATCATGGTAATTGGACTGTGGTCTTGCTTGAATTTTACACTGCATTGTTCAAATGATATAAGCTCCATATTAACCAAATCCAGTAATACAAAAACAATTTCCTAATAAATTCGCTATTCAATATGCAATATTCAAATACAATTCAAAACCCTCACATTTAAAATGGAGCCTTCTCATACCCCTTCTCCGCCTCCACATAAGCATCATACCCATACAACCACTTCTGAGCACCTCCAAAATCCTGCCATCTACTCGGGAATCCACCTGCCTCAGTTGGTCCCGCCATCAAAATCGCATCTCTCCTAACCTGTTCCTCGCCCTCCACCATATGGAAACTTTCTCTCTGCCCCCACGTTTCCCTCGCAATACCTTCTCCCCTCCCCTTCCTCAATTCCTCATAAATTCTCGCCGCTTTCTTCAACTGTTCATCTTTCGTCTCTACGTTTACCTTCCCCAGTAGATATCCCATTACTGCTCCATCTTCCAAACTTGAATTTGCACCTTGTGCTAAATATGGAAGCATAGGATGACAAGCATCACCCGCCATCCAGAAATTTCCTTTTTCGCTCGTCCATCGTTCCAACGTTTCCAGATGCATCAATCTCCATTTCGCCACTTCTTTGACTTGTTCTAAGAATGCTCTGAGAATTGGATCCCATCCTTCAAAAAGTCCTTTCATTTCCTCCAAGTCTCCTGATGTACGAGAAAGACCGGGTGGGAGATTGTCGGGGCAGAGAAGAACGATGTTGAATAGATCGCCACCGCGCATAGTATATGAAACTACATGAGTACCCGAGCCTGCCCAGAAATTGACCGAGTGAGAATCAATAAACGCAGTGAGCTTCTCTGCATCCGGTCCGCTTAATGTAGATTTATCAATCACAATCCTATACGCGAGATCTCCAGTTGGATTTGGCGGACATTCGTGGCCTAAAAATTGTGATCTCGTAGCCGAATAAATGCCATCTGTACAGAGTATGACATCTCCTTCCACTGTCTTCCCTCCTTCCAATGTAATAACTGTATTTTCAAAATCGACACTCTTGACTCTGGATGATAGACGAATGGTGACGCCTAGCTCATCACATTTAGCGCACAGAGCACGTTGTAAATCTACTCGATGCATTCCCCAGAAAGGAGCTCCATATCTCTCATCTATCTTTTCTTGAAAATCTGGAGAATATGCCAACCGCTTTGTTCCATCAAATCGCCATACCGAGAGAGTTTTTGGGAATGTGGCTTTGGGTGCGAGATCATCGTAGATTCCCCATTTCTTGAAGAGTCGAGATGCATTGGGTGTAATTTGTAATCCTGCCTATAACGTTGATCAGTCTGGCTCTGTAGATAGGAAATAAGAGTGTTAGGATATTTCTCTTACCCCGACTTCAGCTAATTCCGATACAGTTTCCAAAATTGTTACTTCATGCGATGGATTCGCGAGTTTAGTGGAAAGTGCTGCTGCTAGACCAGCCAATCCGGCTCCAACCACCAAGACGCGAAGAGGCATCTTGTTTTCTGTAGACTCTGTTCTACCTGGCATTGAAAGCTTTGAAATTCTGATATGCCACCAAGTAAAAATGTTGTGGTTCTGCTCGTGTTACGTTTACCCCGCAAATGATTTGGGATTCAGCGACAAGTTCTGAGAGAATATACTTATTGTGATGTAAGATAGGAACGTTCAAAGGCAGGGAAAACAATGGCATCAAATCAAACAGATGAAGAAATCAGATAACAATATATATACACACATACAAACATAACTAAACAAAACAAAATAAATAGCACCTACGACGATGTGGTTGACAAGACTATGTGGCCTAGTGGACGAGATGTGGACGCGCTCGAAATGGCGGGGTGAAAATCCCCGCATCCCCACAATTTAGGACAATTCATCCCACTGTCTGGATCCAGATACTGTCTCGGAATCTATTCGCGGCAAAAATTTCACGCAAATAGGAAATTATGCAGAAAAAGGTTTCGGTCTTCGGTCATTCGGTCGAGGAAATGAGGCCCGAGTACGTATTGGCCTTTGTGGACATATTTCTTCTTTGCCTAGAAACTTTCTTTAAATACCAAGACCTGGGGATCGTGGGACCCCTAACAAAAATGGATTGGGTAAGAAAGCACATAATTATGGAGAATCCTGGTTCCAAAAGAGCGTGCCGATATATGTAATACGTTATTATTCATTGGTATAAACCTAGAATCATCGTGAAAGATGAATGTCCAATTACACCTTTCTAAAAAGCCCCAACGCCATTGCTATGCAAGAAATATCTAGATCATCGTCACTCAAAATCTCACGTAGCATCCTCTACTTTCGCTTCTAGCCTTCTTCCTCCTCTCCCGAGTCCATCCTATCAGAAAATCTTCTCCCAATCAGGAGTGACAATGAATTTACCCATCACTTTTCCTAATCCAGTGGCGACACCTTCTGGTGCCTCGCCCTTAGGATCTTCAGCAAGAACAATTTGACTCAAAAAAGCAGCTGGAACACCACGGCCTACTGCCATACTTGTCCCACCCCAATCCAATTCCACCTTGCCGCTCTTTCTTACCACCAGTTTTCCGATATATCCTTGTTCACTAACCAATGCTTCATTTTCTTGGGCAAGATTGGGTTCCGTCTTGATGATAACTTCTTCCGATTCCTTTTTGATTCCTTTCTCTTTATCATCGGTAAGATCAATTTGTTCCGAAGATTGGGTGACGACGACATCATCCGAGTTTTCGACTTGAGGATTAAAAAGTCGGGGTAGAACAGGTGGGAATTGAAATAGATAGATTCGACCATCTGCATGATTGGCTTCTGGTTGAGCTTCATCTTGTTCCTGTTCTCCATCCATTCCAACATCTCCATCAACATCAACTGCCTTTCCTTTTCCTTTATCCTTAGCTGTTTTATCCACTGTTCCTCTTAACAAACGAAGTTCCTCAGCAAGGATGTCAACGTCCTCAAGATAGCGTTCATATTCGAACTTATCCTCTTCCGTTTGTATGACTGGCATTTTATCCTTCTTTCTGCTAGGTCGTACCTTGGATTGTTGTGGTGAAATTGGCTCCTTCTTGGGATGCTTTTTATCTTCGGGGGAAGATGGTGCCTTGAACTCTGGAAATTTTGACATGGTTGGAGATTCAAGGCCAGGTTCTCCTTTTGCCCTTGGCTCATCCGTGGTTGCTGCTCCATCCATAGTCATCTCGATATCTTCACCGGATTGAATATCTTCCACTTCATCGGCTTGTTTCTTGGCTATCTCTGCAAGTTCAGGATCACTGACCATCATATTGGAACGTTCCTTATGTTCTTCACGCTTGATCCGGATCGGTGCGAGAGATCGTGATTTGAAACCACCATTCCCGCCTCTGCCAGAACCAACCATTTCGTCATCATCGTCAACCAGATTGATCATTTCGATATTGACTTTCCTCGCTTGTCCGTCATCGTCGGGGTATTCTGGATTAAAAGTGGCCATGTTTTCGGCTGACAGCACATTTACTCCCCCTCCATTTCCTGATCCAGAACCTCCATAACCGCCACTTCCTCCACCACCGCCGCCTCCACCACCTCCCCCTCCTCCGAATCCGCCACCACCACCACCTCCTCCACCGCCTCTTGTGTTTGCAATTGCAAAGCCATCCATGCCACCTTTTCTGTCTGTAAATAGAAATTAGTAAAGTTGACAAGCAATTAGTGATTGACTTACCCATTGCTGCTGGCGCAACACTGAAAATACCAGTAGCACTTGATATTGGAGCTCCTCTCCCTGCGCCACGGTTTTGTCCCATTGCATCTCCTCTACCTCTTCCAATGTGACCTCTTCCTCTCTGAGACCTACGAGCTTCCTTTTCTGCTTGTGCCTGATTTGCCGCTATTCTATCCCTCTCCTCTTGTTCTAATCTATCTCTATCTGCTTGATCTCTTCTGATATTTTTGGGCTTAAACCTAGCTCTTCCAGTAGTAGCTTCACCTCGCGCCCTTGTACTTGCCCCGCCACGTCCTCTTGCAATCGCACTTTCTGATCTTGATGAAAGTCTCGCAGAAGTAGTCGCGGCTGTTGGTGCAGGGGTACCAGCAGGTGTTTCGGCAGGTGTTATTGCAGGTGAGGTGTTTGGATCGAATGCTTCGTCACTAGGTTCGATTTTTGGAATAATGGTAGCAGTCGATTGTGTCATTGGTGCCATCGGCGCAACTGGTGCAATTGGCGCAGGAGATTGACTAGGTTGAGAAGATTCATCAAGAACACCTTTAAGTTCTGGGGTCTCAATCTCTTCAATCGCAATTCCTCTTCCTCTTCCTCGTCCTCTACCTCGAGGTCTACCCCGCGAGGTACCTCCCCTCTCTGCTTTTGGTGGCATATTTTATCGTTTTATTAATCTGAATGGAGAAAATATAAGAGTGTCGTTGTCACCGCATTAGATTTGATATATGTATGAGAAATTCTGAGGATAGATAAGTGGATCTGAAGAGTAACTTTGTGATACCCAAAATTTATGTTTGCGACAAATATTTTGGAAGCTTCAAAAGTTCAAAAGTTCAATTGTAACGGTGGGACCCGACTTTTTTTTAATTCCAGTGACGCATGGGCTATCCTTGTGGAAATTGAGAGTTAGTCAGCAATCATCCATCCACAGCTCTTCTTGTTCACGTGCCACTCTCAACACAACTTTTCGGACCATCGCCATCATCAAGATTCTTTTCGTATGCACCAAACATATCGCAATGATTATGTTTTCAGGAGAAAGACAGATAGAGAGAGTGTGTGTATGTGCGATTGTTATTCGGATTCGATACATTTGAAGATTGAGGAGTCGATTCTGATCGCAAGACCGCTACAACAATATGGCAACAGTCATACATGCATCAGTATGGTTCGCCTTGACAAACATTGTAGATCTTCAACATTATTCCATGGATTTCGTCCAGTCTAGATGTCGAGGGCTCTTTGGGGCTCAGCCTATGGAAATTCGTGATCTGAAAACGAAAATGATATAATGGAACATTCCTTAACAAATCGTGCTTGAGAATTATCACATAAGCTACCCCCCATATTTGCACATCAACTCACTATGGAAGTGAGTACTTCTCCGCATGACTATCTGACATACTTTCAAGTGAAATTATACATAGATTCAAGTGGTCTGTTATACATCCATGAATCACCTCTGCATTGCACACAGCTCTCAAGATTCCTAAACCCGATCGATCCCCCATTCTCTTCTAAAACCTTGAGCATAAGTTTGAATCTGGACTTTCACCACAACCTCCTTTTTCAGTTTTTCTTACCTAAATCAGACGGGATGACCCTTGTACGTGATTCCGGTAACTCACTTCCAAGTGAAAATATGTGACCGTTGTGTATTGAAGAGATATGTTTCCAGAATCACATTCCTTGGCGTTCAAAGTCGAATGTCATTCTTCAATTTTGGCCAACGGAATTCTAAACGAGTCCCTTATCTTTCACAAATTCATACTTCATATGATCTCCTCTCCATCTATTTAACAAGTTTTCTTCTCACAGAACCTATCATCAAGATTCATTGACTTCATTTCCATTCAGAATGAAAGCATCTACTACCATTCAAGCCTTGATGGCTTTAGCTTTTCAAGCGCAGACTTCCATGATCGCGGCAGTGACTATTTCAGTAGAAGCCAATGCTCTTCTAGTTGGAGGATGCGCTGGAGTTGCTCAGGAATATCAATTACAATGTTACAAAGATCAATGCCGTCAGCCAACAAATGAACCACTCGGGTCCTCTTGTGCTTCTTATCCTCCTGTAAATCGGCTCGCATGCTATAAGTCAAAATGTCCCGAGCTAGCCGCTTAAGTCACAACTATTCAAGCTCTTACTCAACAAACTTCGCCGCCTCTCATTGGTGGATGTCGTGGGGTGGCACCTCAATATCAACCACAGTGTTATAAGGAAAATTGTCCCGAACCTGCTGGTCCTCCTGGATCATCATGTGCTTCTTACCCACCAGACTATCAGCTAGCATGTTATAAATCAAAATGCAATCCAAAGCCTGAAACGACAACAAGAGTTGAGGTAGCACTTCAATATCCCGTGGGTGGCAGTATAGGAAAAGATTGTGCTGGAGTAGCGTCAGAATATGAGTTAAAGTGTTTCCAGGAATTGTTTCCTATGCCAAGTCCTCCAGGGGTTTCTTGTGGATCCTTACCACCACAATACCAGCTCGACTGCTATAAGAGACGTTGTCACGAGGTTTACACTTCTACCGCACCAGCAGCACCTCAGAAACCTCCTGAAATGATGGGGAGGATTGTGCTGATGTTGCACCAGAAAAAGAGTTAGAATGCTTTTACCACAATTGCCCTATGCCTGGACCTCCAGGATTCTCATGCACCTCATTGCCTCCACAATATCAAATTGACTGTTACAAAAAACGCTGCCATGAAGTTTACACTTCTCTTGCATCAGAACCGGCTCTACAAACGCCGAATTCCGTTCAAAAAACGCCCAGCTCTGCTCAACGAAAACCTAATGCTGCTCAGCAGAGTCCTGGATTAGATAGAGGCTGTATCAGCGTAGCCCCCGAAGTCCAGCTCGAATGTTACCGTAATGATTGTCCAATTTCGGATCCTATTGGTCATTCGTGCGGCACTTTACGACTGGACTATCAACTACAATGCTACAAAGCGCATTGCGATAACAACAACTTTCTTAGCGCCAAAATTCCTGTACTTCAAACTCTACAGGGTGGATGTGCAACCGCAGCACCAGAAATCAGGAAGAATGCTTCCAAAAAGAATGTTTTAAATTATTCTGTGCTCCACTCCCAATGCAGTAATGCTATAGAAAACATTGTAGTATCCAGGATATATCTGAATTAATCAGTGAATTTGAAATTAGCTTAGGTGGAATATTGGACGGTTCTAGTGCGTCAGGAAGTTCAGATGATGATGGCTCGAGTGCTTCTGGTAGCTCGGATGATGATGGAGTCAATGGCCCAGATGGTAAGGGAGGATTAACTCCTGGGTGTCATTGAATTCTGATAGTGTGATACATTTTCATTTCCATACTTCTATCTGATTTGTAATTGTTGAATCAATGAAATTTGCCTATTAGTATGATCTCGCTAGCAATGAAAGACAAGTTAAATACACTATACTGTTATCCCCTCTATTCATCGATCCATCCTTGACTGGCTCCACCCTCAAAGTTCCTCCCTTCCCAAATCTACAATCGTAAACTTTAACCGGACAAAACACGCGTGGAGTTAAAATGCACCCAACATTCCCATGTCATCTCACTCGCCACATCTTCAACTCCACGTGCACCATTCCTAAAAGTCTTCCACAGACTTCATTATTTACTTCCCCTCTTCCCCTGCATTCCTTCGTTTCGATCGATAGCAGATATCCGGCCTTGGCTCGATCTTGGATCTAGATCTAGATTCTTTAGGTATCCCAGGATTCTTGATCTTTAGATTGAGTATATAGACGAAGGGCCCTTCCGGAATCTATGCTTGTAGCTTGTTGTTCATCGGTGACTAGCTGTGATTCATTTTCATTGCAGATGCAATTACTCATCTTTCAATCCTCCCGTCTAGATAATCAACCAATCGAATGCGATTCAAGCTTTACAGAGAGTTTCTCACGCTTGTTTATTCTTGCTGTTTTTGGTATTGTGGGTAGGGATAGTAAAAATTTCATAGCTGTGCATCATCTGTAGATTTTGAGGTTATCTTTGTTTCTTGGCTGGAGAGAACATATTTTATCTTCTTGTTGATCAATAATTGGATTTTTATCTTCGTTAATTAACACCTATTTTTTTGCTGTCCGGGCTACCGCTCGAAGCTGCGAGTGTGGGAGATACACTTTCATTCGATTGTTTCTCCATTGTAAAGTTCCATAGAAAAGTCGGCAGGAAGTTCAATACTCGATGCTTGTGAGGGACTAATTTGTCAACTATACCCACCCGCCAGATAAAGAGAACATTTTCTGGTGATTAGAATCTGACGGCGATAGATTAAATGGGGGTACTTAAGAACAGAGGAAAAGAGATTATCAAGGTGGTGTAGGAAGACCAAATCCTATAAGAGCGAAGAGGGTGGCAGCTATAAAATTGCTTACATCACAAGTATCCTTATCGTTTTGGTGCAGTGAGTTCTAGAGTCGGAGAAGGAACAATGCAGCAAGCTCTCTGAAGGGTTTTCACCATTCATTTACAAAATCACTCAAAATAGTAATACATCACACCTAGACATCGTGTTGAAAAGAGAGAAGAGATTTTATTATCGCCGAGTGGCATGAAGCTGACAGCAACACAAGGTATGAATGATGCAGAAGCATCATGTCATCATGGTCACTTGCGTTCCTTCACGATACTCTTCTTGGGTATCTATCTACAAGCTGCGTATCAACCACTACAATATGAATCTCCTTAATTCATCGTAACATTTCCCGTTCAACTCACATCCAGTCCACTACGTCACAGCCTTTGCGACGAAACTTAGCTCCAACATCGCCCAATCCCAATCATCCTCAACCTCACTTCCACTCAATCACCCATGCTATATCTCAAAGCATTCCACTCCCGGTCGTTAGACTTTGGTCCAAATTTCGGTTCATCTTTCGTCCAATCAACCATCTCAATGCATAGCTTTGAATCCAACTCGATGTCACATCCAACGTCTAACATTTTATCGCTTTCGAAAAGTTCTTTCCTCGCCCTTCTCATTTCCATAAATTGTTTATCCAAATCATCTACCATTCTTTTAAAACAATTTGGGAAAAAGGCCCAATTCATCGTATCAAAAGCATCGGTAGCCTGTCTCATGAGGACGTTTCGGGGAAGATTGTTATAAAACGAAGTGTCTTTTCGACGATTGGCTCGATGTTTGATTTGGTCGGCATATGGAAAATCTCTTTGAAGAGCTTGCTCATATCTTTCCAGGAGTAAAATAGCCTCTGCTGCAATCGTGGGAGAGTGCCATTCCCGAGTAAGTTTGGGCGAAAGCATTCCATCCTTTCTCTTTTCGGACTTGATGAACTCCGTAATATTAAAACATGCCAACTTTGCCCTCTGATATTGTGGCTCTAAATATTGTACAATGAAGGCTCGTTCTAACTTGAATGCTCTTGGATTGTATTGTGAGGACGAGAGAATACTCGCATGCCTAAGACCGCTTTCTACAGGGTGTGAACTTTGAATAGTCGGATCGCGGGGCCTGTGCATCCAACGATTGCTGCCAGAACATGATTCATAGTGCATCAGATATCTGCCTACGCTGCCAGTAGACGAGTGACACATTTCAGACCTGAAAGTATCAACTGCCTCAAATGCCTGTGCATAACGCACGAGTCGAAGATACATTCGTCGAGAGAGCTCTACCACGGAGTTTCCCATCATAATTGATCTTAGTTCTTTTCTTGAACTGTAGGAAGGGATAATAGATCGACAGTCCTTGCCCCAGAAAGTATTGTATGGGTAAACATCTGGTAGTTCGTCCCAACTTGCATCTCGGAATCGAAGCCTTTTTACCCCTCGTAGCATTCGTAGAGGTATGAGCATATCCTTCATTTCTTGATAGCTGACCTCGTCCTGGAACCAATATGATTCCTCACACTTCTCTAGACCAATCGGTGCTAGTGCAATCTCAAGAGATATGGATGGAGACTGAGTGATGGCTAGACAAAAGTTTTCTATCGACCAAAATCTCATTTCATGCGATCCTCCCAATACTTGCGAATCCATAAATGAACTGACAATGACTCTCCAGCGTTTAACTTTTACCACCGCTGGATGATCAAATAGGAAAAGTTGACCGTGACTCGATCTGTTATAATGTCTTGTGATGGGCGTCATTTCCATGCCTCTATTAAATGCAGATCTGCTTGGGAGACGATCTTCCACGGGTTCATATTTGCAGCAAGCGATGTAGAACGTATTGGATCCGTATAGAATTTCCGATGCTTCTAAGTACATTGCATGGCAAACTCGAAGAACTTGGGGTTCAAGTTCAAACTTCAGCGGTGGCTGGCTTGATCCGTGTGGTGGAGGACTTCTGGGCGAACTGGTACGATCGGCCACACTACAGCTTTTGCCAAGAATTGGATTTACCAGCAAGAGCTCGTAGATCATATTGCGAGCCTCCAGGGGAAGCTTGCAAAAAAATGAACAACCAGTTGATGGTAATGAGATCGTATTTTTAGAAGTATTTCCGATTGATTTTGCAAAGCGCGAATGATGACTTTTGTCGGAGACTGCATGTTTTAGGAAGGGTTCATTTGTGCTGATGGCGACCTGGTCATTTTTGAGATGTGATTCAACTTTATGATAATGAGAGTTGGAGGTCGAGTTCGTATTTGTCGAAATATCAATTTCCTTATTACTGCTTGAAGCTGTGGCTTTGGAGGCAGCAACTCCATTCCATTGAGGTTTCATTGTGAACTGTCAAAGCATATGTCAGTCAGTGTTTCTCGTGCTTGTCCACTTTTGATAAATCAAACAAACTTACCCGTTTCGATTGAGACACAGTAGAAAGATCTCTGTTAAAGTTTTGTGACATATGAAAATCGAAAGAGTCAAGCTTCGAAGGTTGTGTGGATAATAAAGAACTTCCGGTACTAGCCGAGAAGGTTATAATTTGTAAATCAAATTCACTGGTAAGATACCAACTTTAATAATCCGAGATGGATGTTTGATCAGGTACCTAGTATCTAGATGTTCTGCCAGAGTCTTGTGAAGTGCATTGATCAATCAAACACCGAGATAAAGGTTCTAATAAAATTCGCTGGAAGACGATTGCTTCATCTGATCGAAGTCTGTAGATATATCATCAACAGCACACATGACTCAAGATGAGAAGTCTTGGAAGTTTTTTGTTTGACATAAAGCATGAAGTTCTTGAAAGCCTATGTGTCAAACTGATATATGGCAGTCACAACTTTTGTCCTCTCATAGTAACAAGTGATGGCTTTTCCAATCATTCACCCATCTTCTTCTCATAGTTCAGTCTCTGAAGATGCGTGCTCCTGAATGCGACAATTTGTAAGGTTTTAACCTTTGGATATAACACGAAGAATTTCTTGCTATTATTTGTCAGTATAAGCTGTTGTTTGAAGAATAAGAGGCAAAAAATGTGTTCAGAGCATCGAAACAACTGAGCATCTATTCCCCAGGATTCGTGCTCAGATAACTACTAATCTCTCATGCCCAGTATTCGAATACATAATTATTATTATAAATGTCATGAATAACACATTTGAGACAAATCAGGAAGTCTTACACTTCCATGGGTATTGCAACGACCTGCTCCTCGAAGTAACATAGGCATGTCATGATGATTTCCTGGTATATTGGACTTGATATGTAAGATTCAAGTGGGTTCTCATGTTCTCAGAAGAATGTAGCAGAGTAAAGTAAGTTGGTCCTAAGATAATGATCTAGTTGTACCTTGGAAGTAAGTGAGCCATATGGGTGGCAACCCTATTCCACATCCCGAAAGGACAAAAATCTAGGGATTATGAGAGCATATTGATACCGATCAGTTCTGTCCGGAAGTTTTGCAAGCCTATTTGCCATTAGCAACATCTACATCACTCTCTGTTGGTATGCTACGCCATAGTCTACACCACGCAGATTATTTGCGTTTGAATATCAGCTTGCTTCTAAGACTGGGGGTGAACCGATTTATGTGTTTTTGATTCTTCGGCAATGCCAGAGGACCGCGTCATCGGCAAGGTTGCAATAGCATCGGTAAGACGCCATCATTTCGTCCAGTCAGCTGGCCCACCAGTGGCCTTACTTCCAGATTGTTAGTTGATGAAGGCGTGGACAGAACCTTAGGTACGTGGCACTCGCTCTTACTGTGATAGACTGGTATTTCATCCACATCCCCAATCGCAGAGAGACAGGGAAAGCCCAATACGACATGCATTTATTCGCCTAAGGTTACATATTCAAAGCACTTTCTCCAGAGCAAGCAGCAGCATAATGTATCAGTACAAAAACATCCTTAAGTGCAAGTCAAATGGTTCTCGAACAATAGTCAATTAGTAGTAAAACAATTCCGACGAGAGACGTCAACATTGGCATACCAAGGTACCAAAAAACATTATTTACAATTTACGCGGACCGGAAATAAAACCAAGCTAGTGTTCTTATTCCCAGTCGATGCAACTGCCAAAATATTTCCCAAAAGTACGCTAAGAATATCGTGGTGTCTGGTTTGGTAACTTGTCAGTCTGACGTGTTTATTCAGATGTGCAACAAAACTAAGGTTATTTGCGAGACCATATCACGTGAAATGATACCGCTTCGAGCAGAATAATTAAATGATGGCAGCTTATATAAGCATCGACTTCTCGTTTTCATCCCCTTCCGTTTACACAAAGTCATAGAAGAGACATCAGACCACAATATTGAACCTCACTCGATGATGTATTGGTTGCTTTTCGGACATAAAACTACTCTAAAAAGAACTTCATCTCATGAATATCGCAAAGCTGCGAACAATGGGGAACCCAAAACCACCATTCCGCTTTCGGAACATCTGAGGCAGGAAGTCCTGTGACTGGATGCAGAAATTTATTCCTTTATCTGCAAACATGTTTAATGATTCGATTCTTGAGTTTATATATCATTGAGGAGAAAGGGTTTAATTGATTTTGGATCGGCCGTCTACTTGTACCTGTGTATCAACCTGGTTAGGCTCTCAAGCTTCTTGTCTAAGCAGACGATATATCTAAACTGCTTTGTTTATAACTTGCTGAGAAGCGTTCGAATGCCGTCGGACTTACCATAATATTTCCTATACTATTACTGAGGTGCTACATGCTTCACACACTTTGGAAGAATCATACTTTTCTACCAGCTTCACTCCATTTCCCGACAACCCATGTCATCCTACCTCCACCCCGAAACCATCTACGAAACTTCCTTCATCTCAACTCGCAACCCAATTCATATAAACATCGATCTTCGTCATCACCAACCCTCTAACGCCACTGCTAACTCCATGCCCGTCACCACCATGCTTAGCAGCTTTCTCCGCTCTCCTTTCTCCGCCCTAATACACGCCCTCATTCAACTCTCCGCTGTTTTCTTCTACCTAGCTCTCCTTATAACAACCTACTCTCTCTACAGCATCCGTTACCTCTCCTCCATTACCCATCTCACCCAACTCCTCTCCTACCTCTACAACCAATTCCCCTCGATCGTAAAACACAAAGCCGGCATAGTCTACGAAGAACGCCGCCAGCTCCGCCGCAAATATGCCGAAGCACGAACTGAGCGACTCCGCGAACGCAACGAAGTGGGCGAGCGAGAGCGTGCCCAAATGCGCGAAGCGGTGCGTCGAGTAGCCTGGAAGAGGGGAGTTGGAAAAATGGATTATGGAATTGATTTAGCTGAAGATGAGAAGAACCACTCGTCATCTTCTAATTCCAAACCAGAAGACAAATTCTCCAAGAAATCAGAAGGCAGAGAATCAAGAGGGGGGAATCAAGAAATTGAAGGATGGATAGAAGATGAGGTGATCATTCAATCACCTGTTGAGCTCCAAGAATCACTTGAGAAATTGGAAAATCAAGCAGATTACGGGAAAAGGGCGGGATATTGGGACGAAGCGGAACAAATGAAAGCGAAACAGGCAGCAAAGATTTTATTGAGAAATGGAGAGGTGGAGGAATTCCCTAGGTTTGAGGATATGGATACTAGGGAATGAAGGGAGTCAAAAGTGGATAGTCTGGAGTTTAGATTTCACCAAATATTGTTATTGCAATCAAAAGGGTGAACATAGCAGCAAGCTGGAAGACTTGATTTTCTTGGCATAGTCCCACAAGCACAAAAATTAAAATCGATAATCATATTTTTTAATATTCATTACATGAACTAACCAGCTTTACATTTACAACCTCCCAAACCCACCTAATAATCTCTTCCTATCCTTCCTCCCCAGCCCCCCAAATCCCACCCAAAAACTTTTGTTGCACATCTACCCAACCCCTTGGCATACCTAGAAGAATCTAGAACTCCATCCACGCCCTTTCCCCATACTCTTTCAAGTTTCAACTGACCTTACAAAACGGTATCTCACTCATATCATACCATATCCATCTCAAAGAAATCCCGCGTAAAATATCTACCTAGTATTTTTCCTTTGTTCTTTCTCCTATTGGTGACGGGTGACCGCATTGAGATTAGCTGTTTGTTTTTTGTGTTATTATTCTTTTTTCTTCTGTTGTATGTAGTATATAGTATGATTTCTTTGAGTTGTGAGGATATTTTACTTCACTTTGGTTCAATTTATGTGAGGTTAGAGTTGATTCACTTATTTTCAAACATTTTTGGATGATTGAATTAGGAGTTAATACTTAAAAACACTCACCATATCCGATTGATTCTCCTTCTGAGTTAAACTTGTTAAACATCAACCTTTCACTCAGTGACAGTCGCACGCGAAAACTCGTATTAAGGTTCAAAGATGTCTACCTCGACTACAACGATCACCGTCTCCTCAGCGTCTGTCATTTCTTCTTCCTCGGTCTCAGTTGTCTCTTCCTCTTCCAAACCCGCATCTACAATTTCTTCGGCACCAATTATCTCTTCTTCATCTATCACAACTGTCTCTTCCTCAGCTCCAGTCATCTCTTCTCCTTCCTCTTCAACTCCAATTATCTCTTCCTCACAGCCATCAATCTCCTCCTTAACAACCCCCGCACTACCGATCCGCCACACAGCCTCCCAAACCCTCTCCCCATCCCACATATCCGCAGAACCATCTTCTCTCCTCCAAATAGCGACTCCGATTGCTATTCCTCCACCTACCGGTACTTCTATATCTCGTATGTCCTACTCCCCTCTAATCTCCTTCCCTTCACATCCCCAACTTTCATCATAAACATCACTGCCCCCACCCTCAAGCTTCCCTCCTCAAACCTCAACTAACGCTTCTCCCCTCCCTCAAGTCCTCACCCAACTCCAAGAAGCCCTCGACTTCACCTCCACCCTCCTCGGTCTTTTCTTCGTTTCCCTCCTCACCCTCCTCTTCATCTACTGGAGCACTCTCTACATCCTACGCAAAACCATCGGTATAACTCCCCGCGATACATCCCCGATCACCCAACTCAAAAATAAAAACAATGCCCCCACCTCCCCCAAATCACCCAGCCACCTGCAAACCACCACCCCGCTCCCCCAAAAGAAAGAAGTAGGATTCGCCCCCCACCCCTCCGACCCCGAATTTGTTCTCTCAGGGCAAAAAGCCCAAGAAACCAAACGTCGTTTATCCTCTATCCCTCAATCACCCACCTTGCCTACCTCCTCTCCCCCCCTCTCCTCAACATCCCCATACACACTTTTCCCCTCCTCGCAGCCCTGGCCTACAGATGGAGTACAACTCGCAGGTCTAGGGTCCGTATCCGATTCCGAAAAAGATCAAGTGGCGCAGATAGCGCAGGCTACGAATGCTGAGGAACTAAGCGAGATGGCAGGAAAGAGAAAGGAAGATGTGTTGGCGGAGGCGGAGTTGGAGTTGGAGTTTCAGAGAGGGTGAGGGACGTGAGTGGAGATACGGATGCGATTGAGAGGAGAGGGGGAGGAGTTATGGGGCTTTGTAGGATGAGGTGGGGAGGCGAGGAGGTTGCAAAATGGCGGAGACCGCGATGTAAGCCTTTATGCTCTTGATAAGTACTGAAGCCAAAATGAATTGCGGACGCAGAGAAATTCCCTTCTTCCTCCCCCTACCTATCCAGGGGATTTCGAGGCTTTGTGATTAGATGGGACAAAAGTAGTGATAGTCACAAGGCTGTCAGGAACTTGATGTAAAGAAGGAAAAAGAAAGAATAGTATTATTGAAATGCAATACGAACGCGGAGAAAGTTTCTCCATTTTAGTGACGGATATCAGAAAGAATACAGATATGACAAAGAAGGGAGAAGGCAGGATTCATGTGGTTTTGGGATCAGATGAAGCAGATGCAGTCATGGGGAAAGAAATGGTAGAAGAAAAGGATGTAGGGAAGATGATGAGTGGAAGGAAACGACAAAATGAGATGGCTGAAGATAGAGATTCAAGTCTTAGTATCTTTAGTGATAACGGAGATCAAGTGTAATACAAATACAACAGAATTTCCTACTTCCCCTTCCCTCCCTTCATCCGCCCTTCACTCATCTGCAACAAATTCCCACTCACTTCGCCAATGGAAACAGATATGCCGATCCCATATTCAAGTCATACCACTCCCCATCCCCCCCAAAAACTACTCCCTGTAAGTACTAAACTTCAATGCCATAAAATCACAAAAATACTTGTTCTTTCGGAATCGATTTAAACGAACGTAAAATTTCATTTCCTGTTTCGACCTATGTTCACAAGTATATAAATATGTAACCCCCCTAAAAAAATTGTGAAAACGTATGTTCAAACGTCTCAGTGTTCAGACGAGCTTTTGTCGAAATACGTGTATCATAAGTTTCCCCAATCCTAAAAACCCGCCCTTCTTTCTGCATGAAGACGATTATTTCGTCCCAATGGATATCCAGATCCTTTGCACGAAATTATCTGTTTGCTGAACACCCTAAGATTCGAGGATCCTATTTCTCGAAGTAAAATAGCATGACCAACAGAACACGATCCCTGTATCTTCATGTAAGCCTGCTATGTCCCCTTATTATACGCCTATTCAGATAATCCCAAAATTTCACCGTTCTTTCCGTTCTCCCCACAAAATTATCCCAATCACCGATACACAACTTTGGCATAACAAGTACATTTCTAGTAAGAGATCTTGACAATCCAATCGTCGCCTGAGGCATATGGCTATCGAAACCTAGGAACTCCACAAAAAATGGGATATATAACGGCTTTAGAAGAAGAATTTCCCATGGCGTATCTGCTTCTATTCTCAAGCCTCGCTCTGTACAGTGATAAACAATGCTCCAATATAACATGTGCTCAAAAGTGTATTCCTCGCACACTGCGTTTGCTTTTTTCCGTTCGAAATCCCCACAAGTGTGTGTCGGCTCAAAAAGATACAGTGCGAGTAAAAGAATACTTCGTGGAATTTGATTTTCACTTCCTAGGCAGACATGAACGAGCGAGGAACGAGAGATAGAAGGCACGGTGTCAGTGTTTTTTCCGAAGGGCTCGAAGAGAAGAGATTTGTAGTATTTTCTGTCATGATATTGTTCTAGTTTCTACGATCAATGTTAGCTATCAGAAAATTCACATTAAATTTCTGAGGTGGATTTTACCAAGTTGATCAGCTGCCTAAACCTTCTGTCCGATAAATTATCCAATTTGGGAGGATACTTGAAGACAGAAAGATCGAACATAGAATCAATGGGAATAGCGACACCAAGTTTCCGGACGAACTGATTCAGAAATGTTTTCCTAGTATTGAGTGTCAGAGTCTCTCGGTTCTGGTCCGACTCAACCGCTGGTGAAAAAAGTATTGTTGAGTCTGATATTTTGACTTCTTCTACTATATGATGCCGTATGTCTTCGTCCAAAATTATCGGTGCCGGGGTATCGCAAGCAATATAACAAGGGGTTTCTAGAGCAATCAGTATTGAAGAGAAATAACACGAGCACCTCCAGAGTCAGCATACCAGCATCAAACTCAAGGATTGACTCCTCGGTCACTTTATATCTCTGCGCGAAGCGTTGAATCTTATTTGGTTCAACTTCCCGGCCACTTATGCGGAACTCGCTGTTCTTTCCTTCGCGTTTTCTCTTCAAGTCCTTTCGTAAAATAACTCTCATATCATTTTCCTTAATATTCTTGTCCAGCTTCCACTGTTCAATTCGTCGCTTGTATTGTCGTGACCTGGAGTTTCGATCAGTCAGCTGTTCTAGGTAGCAGTCACCAACCCTAGAAAAACTTACGTTGCACGGAATTCATGTTCATTCTCCATAATTTGCATCACCTCCTTGAGAGGCCTGCCTTCAGTCATGTAGAGTTGAGTGAAAGTCAATCTATGGCGCTCCCACTCATCTGCAGAGTGTTCCTTGGGAGCAGGTCTAGCAGTGACATTCGATGGAGATAACATAGGCTTAACCATAGATGGATTCGCATGAGCTGTGGTAATTGAAGACGCGGTGCGTGTATCATTGTAAGACAATGAATGCTGGGTGTACGAATAGGAACTGGTGGAGGGTAAGGGCCATGAAGGTATAGACGATGCTGATTGATCGAGGGTGCCATGTTCCAATTCCATTTGTCCAGTACCGTAATCGAAAATTTCCGATGCATTGAAGTTCTCTAAAAAAATCCCTGAGAATTCTTGTGACATTGCATCACCGTCGAGGCCAAAGTCGAAATTGGTGGCCATTTTAAGAATCTCTCCAACTCGGCAGAAGAGATAAATTCAAATACGTCAAGACAAAGTATCAAATTACAGTGAAATTAAAGATGAAATTACACAGATAAACAAATAGCAAAACCAAAATAAAAACAGTGAAATCCAAAGCTTTATATATCCAGCCCACCACCCAAACCCCAAGAAGGTCGTTCTGCCTTGCTGACACCTCATGCGTGGTCCTTTTGTTCTCAACCCCAGTAACCTGAACCTTGACATGGTACTTTTGTTCACTCCCGAGGTCTGCATGGTACTTTTGCAATTGAGTCTGGAACTGCGCCTGTGGCTTGCAGGGTAGCAAGCGCCTCATGGAACCTTCGCACCGAAAAGTTCTGATGGAGAAACACTCCAATAGAGACACAGAAGTGATATCACATCGTAAATAGATGAATGAATGAATGGACGAGTCAATGAATACCTAAGTAGATCCTTTAACCCTTTTCATTTCATCCCCCAAATCCATGCTGTATGGTTACCTACCTAGGTACTCACAGTTACGATGAATGATTCACGAATGAAAGTAAACCAAACTACTACGTAGGAACAAAAACAGGCTAAGCACCAACCACGTGATACGTCCCTCCACTCCCTCCACTCCATTTTAAATCCAGCAAGCACTACCCCATCAATCAACCACACAATCAAACCACACAACCACACGCATAATTCTCAAGTCTACTCAAGGCAAGCGACCACACGCAGTTGAATTTGAAAATCATCTTCCACATTTCCATTTGCATTTGTATTTTCTCCTCTGTTCTATTCTCTTTCTCAATCTCTTACCTTTAAAGGAGTATCCGTCGTAGATTCAAAACCTCAACACAACACCCAGCAATATTCCCCCAAGCTCGAGCTGTTTCACAGAACCAATACATACCGATCTATGGAATTACCACTTCCTTCCTTCTTGCACACTCTCTATTTCCTCTTTCCTTCTTTCCCACCATCCTTGTCCCAATCCAACCCCCATCAATTCTATCTCCTCCCTCCCTACCTCCTCGCTTCCCCTTTCCTAGACGCCTCTCCCAACATCAAAGCACTCTAAAACCAGTGTACAGTATCAGAAACCTCTCTCTACCAATACCAAAACACTACGCAAATGACTTACAAGTTATCAGAAGTAACACCTCACACCCTCTACCGCCTACAACCCAGTACAACGCATAAACTTTCCCGGTGACCTCTGAAACCTCACTACGATGCCTTTCTCTTATTCACTAAAGTATACATGTACTATCAAAACACTCTTGAAACATGAAGCCAAAAAAGATTTAACCATTTAACCATTTAACAATTTAATAAATATCCATTTATCTATCTACTTTCTTCTAACCACCTAAATATATAACTATAGACCCTTATTATATCTTATTCCCTCTTCTCTATTCTCTATTTTCCCCTCCCCTCGTATCTCCTCTCCCGCTGTCCCCCCTACTGACCGTCTTTCAATCTTTCCGTCAAAAAACAACGATCTAGAGATTTAAAGATCTAAATCTACCTCTCCCCCGCCTGCCCCCTACCTACCTCCCTCCCTCTACCACTCATCGACTCTATCGATTCTATCCCGTCATATCTATTCATCACTCTAAACCCACGCCCAGGTCCCAAATCAAATCAGACACCATCCAATTAATCCAAATAATGCATGTAGGTCATGAATTTCTTTCTTTCTTTCTGTCTTCCTCTCTATTTATTTTTCACTTCCCCTCCCCTCCATTCCCCCAACTCATATAATTTTCACTTCCCATCTATCCCTCTAAGCACTTCCAGCACCATTTCCACCAATCGCTCTAGGTAATCCCATCCACTTTTCCTTTCCCGGAATCTTCACTCTTCCAAACTCCTGATCCAAATCTAAAATAATCTTCAACGCATTTCTGCTTCTCAAATAATGAAGTGGCCCCTCCTGACCTGGCAATGCGCTCGCACCAGCTACACCCACATGAGGTCTCTCATCCTGGGCATGGCCTGGCATTGGAAGAAGATTTTGAAGGACTTCATATGCCGCCAATGTGAAACCGAATTGTGGGGAAGATCTAAGGATTCGAGCTGGTCCACCCTTGAAGAATGCTTTGAATCCTTCTTCTTTCAAGATGGTTTTTGCGGCATGACGAAGAGATGTATATTGAGATTCTCCCTTTCTGGCTTCAACTTGTAATCTGGTTTTGATGACATCACAAGGCGTGGTCAAATAAGCAGCTGGCATACCAGCAATGGCACCTGCAGTCAATAAATGCACGACACCCAATTTTTTGGTCTGACTTTCACCAAAGAAGTCGCGCTTCAGATGTTATATGTAGGGAAATAAATCATAGAGAAAGGAACATCACGGAGGAGACATGCTGACGCTCCTTTGTAGAGACCGACAAGACCAAGGTTACGAACGATCCACATAGCTGAGCGGCGAGGAGTGCCTTCAACACTTTTGGCGACTTCTCCCTGAACTTGTAGACGAATTTTGACAATCTCAAGGGGTTAGTGAAGACCTGTGCGTGATTTTAGTATAATTTCAAAAGTGGGGCAGAGGGGTAAATGTTAGCTTACCACTTGACAACCACCGGCCATACCACCAGCAAGAATTTCATGCTTGAGTTGAATCTTGCCATCCTTGGTGGAGAAATGACCACGAACAAGATCATTGACTGTCAATTTAATAGCCTTTTCTGGAGCAACACCAACAAGTTGTGGTAAAACACCAGAATATAAACCTTTGAACCCCTCATTTCGCACAACCTTCTTAGCACAATCCCAAGAATTCTTGTACAACATTTCTCCAACTCTTGAAGATCTCTGATTTTGCATACGTGTCTTGACGAGATCGATGGGGTATACCATAAATGCGCCAAAAGCTCCGGCTAAACTTCCCAATGCGAAATGATGTACAGATTCGAGAACGCTATACAGAACACTTCCACCAGCTGCTTTCACACCATTGCCATTAGCCCTTTTTTCGTAGGCATTATACAAAGGATTGCGCCATGAGGCATCGAGGACCTTTGCGAAATCAGATAATCCGAGTCTGCCAGAAGGATTATCCAGACTGGCAAAGTGGAATAAAATATCGGCTTCCATAGGAGTGAAGAGAGAAAATCTAGTAATTCTTGCAGCTTCATTTAAGAAATCGGTTCTGGTAATCTTTCCATCGGTGCTTTCTGCAGTTGCCTGTCTAATGACCATCTCCACCAAATCCATCTCCCTAATCATATTTTGGAAAGCTCGAACATTTGCATATGAAATCTTGCTACCAGCCGAGATATTGCAGAGAGTGTGTAAATTTTCGAGAAGATGATCCGAGAGCTTATGTTTCGCAGTTTCGAGAATAATTCTTTGGAACTCCTCTGGCTCAATATATCCATCTCCATCTTTATCGAAATGGTGGAAAGCTTGACGTATTCTCTCTCCTTGTAACCCTCGAAGCATCTGCGAGAATTGTGGATAAGTCAAATCATGTCTTCTCTTCTTTCCTCCACTGTATAAAGTAGCCCATTCGCAACTCCAATCGAAAGGTATGGTATCTGGTCCCTTGTTCAATTCATATAACTTCTTCAAATCATCATATTTGACAGTGCCGGTTCGCTCGACATCGAAAAGACGGAATGCGATCTCATATTCGGCGTCGGGTTTGGCAAGGAGATTTTCGAAAGTTCCCCAATCATGTAAACTGATTTTACCAGTATTTCTTTGATCGGCTACACGGAATAGAATTGCATATTGTTCTCGTTTGATTTTATGCTAGAAGGAAATCAGTTATATTAGCTATGAGTCTTAAAAAGGAGGAATGGCATAAACGTAAAACATTGACTCACATAATCTTCTCCTTCCGGCGCAATGGCATTTACAAAATCCTCCTCAGTCATATAATCCTCCGTACCAGACTCATCCTTCCGCGAATTCTTCTCAAACGTAGCTTTCGATTGAGCGGAAAGTTGAATATCCTCTGCCACAGTTGAGCCCAACAATGACTCCTTCACCACCTCCTTCGCCGTTGTGAGATCTGTCCCTGTCATGATTTGACCCTTTGAATCTGCGACTCTCCAAACAGTGTATTAAATTCGTCCAATAGATACTGTGTACTTCGTATGAGTTTCTCTTGAATGAATGACCGAAATTCGGAGGAAGATCTGCGAGGAATTGTGGAGTTTCCTGGAGTTTCCGCACTCAAGCAGGAATTGAATTGTCGAGTTGTCAGACTTGGAGTAATTTTTCTCTTTTTCTCTTTCGAGAGTATCGTGAGCGAGCTGACAATTGGTGAATTGGTACGACAATCAAATCTCAAATGTCAAATCTCAACGGTCAACGGTCGACTTTTCTTTTTTTTTTCTCCCTTCTCAATTGAAGTTAAGAAGAATAAGACAACGGAACCAACCAAACTTTTATCTAGCTCCAAGCAATTCAACGATTTCTCCAATTGGAGAGGAAATTAACACTGGGGAAGATGGGGGCGAATCTGGGCTGGTATGACTGTAGGAAAACAAAAATTAATTTTTGAATCGGGATTGGTTCCGAAGAGTGCCGGGTTTATTCATTAATAAATTCTACCGAATTTCACCAGAGCAGAGGAGAAGAAAGTGCGAAAACTCTCACCCACTTTTAAATTCATCGTCAATTGATTGAAACATGAATATGAGTGTGATTATTGGGAATGAAGAGCAGGTCGAGTTTTAAGAAGACATTTGTTCTATTCTTCTATATTTCTATAATTTGGTACATATACAAGAAATTGGCATCTCTATTTTCAAATTTTATATTTTTTTATATAGTCCGCCGATGTTGACCATTGACGAATGCTGTTACACACACTGCCGGGAAGCCCGAGTCAAGACTAATCCTCTTTCAAACATATCATCTGATGTATGGAGTATAAGCATCAGAACAAGACGTCAAAGTATTGCCAAGTCGCATGAGTATTGTAGATGTAACTCTACCTCCCTGATATCACTTATTCCTACAAAATACTCTCATCAATCTTCTCTCCTCGCTCCTCGGCAACCCGTTCAGCTTGTCTTCCTTTCCTCCATCGCCATTACCGGACCAACAGCCACAGTTCTGCCAGGCCGCAAATACTACTCGATACGTGCGCATATATTCGTCCCGTCCCCCCCGCCCCCCAAAGATGGATATACCAAGAAAGGTACCACAATTATTAAACTCTGTAAACAATACAACGTTGTTATCGTGACTAGGAGACTAGGTAGTTAATTCTCGGCTATCTTTGAAGAACTACCGATAGAGTAAGAGGGTCGTTGACATCTGATCACTTGTACATAGCAGCTTGATACAGTCTGTTCTACTTGCTACTTACCACCTAGACACACAGCAGCCAATATCACTCGTCCATTATATGATACAAAATGATACGAGCAATCCAACAAACATAACCAAATCCAACCATTCATCTATTACATTCAACCACGCACAAACAAAACCTAATCATGTGCTTCCCTCCCCTCCTTCCGCAATCCCACCCAACATCAAGAATCTACACCTCAACCAAAATTACAAACAACTTCAACTCCAACACCCACCCCAATCCCCCAAGTACCCACTCTATTCCCTCCCACCTTCCCGCCGTCCCATCCCTTCCACGGCCTTGGTATCCGGCTTACCCACAAGCTTAGAAGCTTACAAGTCTACAAGCCTGCCTAATATGCGTAGCATTCTTCAGGGTCGCGCGCCCCTCCTACTCTACTCCCACTACTCTAATCATTCCCCACCATCTACTGCCTACCTATATATACCTACCTACTTAAATACCAATCTACCCAGTCATACCCAGTCATATCACTTAGTCAAATCGCCCAATCATACTCTCCAATTACACCATCCCATCTCATCCTCATTCATCCCATCTCATCTCAACCATTATCACCTATCATCAGTTCACCAACCAATCAACCTTCCGTCAATTTTCAGGGGAAAACTTCAAAAAGAAGCGAGTCCTCCGTCCAACCCATATACCCCCCTTTCGATTAATTCAAATCATAATTGCGTTCCTTTATTAGATCCTTCATCTCATTACACCTATCTTGCTATTACAACTTATACTTAAGTAATTTAAAAAATAAAATAAAAACTCACAATTTCATTCATCACACAAGTCACAACAAAACAAACAAAAGTATTTTCATCTTAATTTTATTTTTTGATATGAAGTATTTTTATCATATGCCAATACTTCTTCATGGTATCTTGGGAATACAATTCATCCCAATCCCATCCGTGGATGGGGATTAGAACTCCGACGACGAAACAATTGCAATAAAAAAAAAGAAAAAATACAGAATTGTCCCCTGCCATTAAACTCCCCATGTCGATGTAAGATGATAAGCAGTACATATCCGATCAATGGATACATTGCCGCCCAATTGCTTTGATTTTCCTCCCCTTTCTCAATCCATTGTCCCTCCTGCACCAGGTAAAAAGCAAATAACTCAAAAAGTCATGGTATCATCAGATCATGAAAGTCGTGATGCTGCAAAGGTATCTGCCCTAAATTCCAGAAGAGGATATAAAAGCCATATCATTGAGCAAAACCCTCTCCCTCACTAAAAAACCAGGAAGGAGAAGAACAAAACCAGTAAAATCAAAGCCAACCATTATGCGCTGTGCAAAGTGATGACGGCAACTAATTGATTTTGTATGCAACGCCGCCAACGCCACTGTGAAGCAATGTGGTCTATTGAAGGGGTATGGTAAAAGTGGATCCAGATGTTGTTTAAATCGAAATGCCAAAGGAATGGTAGTCGATTCAAAATCGTATCTGGCCCAATAAAATACAGTGAATTGAATGTTGTGTGATGTGTTGTTATAAAGGATTATTGTAATTAAGATTCTTAGGTTCTTGCTTGAACCATTCGCTGAGAGTTCTCCTCGATGGACAACAATGGGTCAAAGGTAACGTTTTGGTATTGAGAATCGAGGCGTAGAGGAGCTGGAATAGATGGAGATTGTCGGCGGCGATTGATACCTGGAATTTGAAAGCCCTTGATCATTTGATCCTCAACGTAAGTAGATGCTCTCTTGTAACGGCGATCAGAATATTTCTCGAAGACAGCAGCGTGGTGTTTTCGAGCATTCTCGCAGCACTCGATAACCAAGGCAACCAATGGCTTCAACTGATTCCAAGTATAACCAGAGTAATAAACATGGGCTGGAGACCAATCACCTTTGCTGAGCATGAACCTCGAAACAGCATGGGACGCAGCAGCAACAAAACTTGGTGGGCTACCGACAAATCTTTCATCCATGATGGTGACCTCCAAGAAGTACTTGGCCAATGTTCGAGTTTCAAGATCGTAATCATCAGCCTTACTGATGCGACGAAGAAAGCTCATTGGTCCCGGCCATCCCAACTCGAATTGAAGCATACTGAGCATGAATCGCTCTGCCTTGAGAATTTCTTCACTGCTATAACCACCATCAACCATGTAGACGATCTCTCCGATGGAAGGACAGTTGATTTCTTCATACTTGGCGGCAACAAAGATGGCGGTAGCACCAACCAATTGAAGCTTGCCAAGCGAAACAACCTTCTTTGAAAGGAATCTATCAATGTAGTTGACGCAAAGGAAGAGGGTCTCGGGTAATAGAGAGAATCGTTGATGAACCTGAATCAACCAATCCATCAAGACAGATCTCATTGACCATTGAATCTCTGCTTGTGTATCCATGTAGTGTGGGTCGGGAAGAAGTTTGTTCTGTGGTTGAAGGTTTGTCAGCAAAGTTTAAAACAAGTTCAATCAGCGGTGGCGTGAACAAATAAGGTCTCAGTAGTGATCGCTGTTGTCGTTCCATGATGGGCTAGACCAAGACCGTTTCCCAAAGCATAACAATGAATATTTGAATCACTAACCTCAAGCTCTCTCATGTATGAGAAGATCTCTTCGCCATACTCAGCCACCATGCTGGTATCCCACATCTCATCCTCAATGTCCTCTTGGGTTCGAACAGACTCGACGAGAATCTTGGCATCCTCAAGCTCTTTCTTAACCTTGTTTGTGACTTTTGGGACGATAACCGTGGTTGCTCCTCCAGTGGTATTCTCCCCTCGGAACGAATGAGCGGTTGTATAGCCTTGGTCGTCATAGGTCTCTTCTTCATCCTCAGGCCAATATTCTTCGGGTTCGGAAGCAATCGGTGCAGCAGGTAATTGCTTTTGTGACTTCAACTTCTCGGCGATAGCAGACTCATCCTTTTCCTTGATAGAGCGGAGTTGAGATTCGTTGACGTTCTCCTTCAATGGATGTTCCGAAGCGTTGTGGTAGATCGTGGGTTCGGCGTTGTCAACAGCATTGTTTATCTGCTTGCTCTGTGTTCGTCGTAAAACCGGTTGTTCGGCCTTGATCTCAGGTTGACTCTTAGCGTGTCTGGGGCCGAGGGTTTGGTGGGCTGGACCAGTCGAGGCAATTGGCTTTTGTGCAAGTGGTTGAATATTTTCATTTTCGTTATCCTTGTATACAGCACCCTTCTTAGCCAAAGTATTGCGCTTGGTGTTATTTGCTTGGGGTTGTTTTTGAAGTGGAGCAATAGAGGGTTGTTCAGAAGTAGATGTAGCTAATGGCGCTTTGAGGCCATTGTTAAGTGGTCGTTGTGCTGGCTTTGAAAGTGCAGTTGACTTATCCTGAGTAGCAATAGGCTTAATGGTTTCGACAGACTTGCCATTGACGGCAGACTCATCCCGAATAGTAGTCAAAGTCTTTGCGGTATTGCTAACATCTCCAAATGCAGTCCTCTTGGCAGCAGCCTTGAGTCCCCCGACTGCTAACATATTTGTTAAGGCGCCTGTGGACTTGTGTTTTTGATGTAGAGTTGATTGTTGTTTGGTAATTAAAGGTGCGACGTTCTCATCACCATTAGTATTGGCTTGAGTAAATCGTGAAGGTCTTTGGGGCTATTAAAACATTTAATGTCAGTTTGATTTGTCTGCAATTGAATAGAATCTAAGAAGATTGAAATGAAGTTGACAGGGTGATGAATTGGAATGTAGATCGAAGTATGAGGAGATTACGAAAGTAAAAGAAGATTGCGTCAAATTGGGTAATCATCAAATAATGAATCGCTCGAAGAAAGGAGGAAAGAGCGATCCACCACCACCACCACCACCACCACCGCCACAATAATAACAATAATAACAATCATGCCAGCAGCAAGAAGAAGGAAGTCAGAACTTACTCGAGCGTCCATGGTTGAAGCTATCGTTTCCTCCAAACAAGGTACACAATAGCAAAAGCCGAAGCTGATTTGCGATGACTGTACTGTTGATTATTATTGCTGAAGTGATTCGAGTATCAAAAAAAGCGTGAAGAAGCTATCGCGATCAAGAGTTCATGGAGGAATGTTGTCTGGTGAAAGGGATTGCTTTCAATTGGACAATGAATGCAGAATTATTGGGGATTATGCCAATCGTTTGCTTCGATATGCAATGTATGAAATCGTGTAGTCAAAAAAGTCCCTGCAGAGTTGTGATAGCTCGAAGCATGAAGATGGATACGATGATATGGGGTCCGAAGGAGGGGTTAGAGGGGAATAGATGGAAAAGAAGGTGAGGGAGACAGGAAGATTTGTGGAGAGCGACGAAGATGAAGTTGTTGATGTTTGGGTCTCGACCAAAAAGTTCTCTCTTGTATAATAAAATGGTTGGAGTACAGGTAGAGAGGTGCATACAATTTTAATTCTTTGTTTTGTCTGGTTGGCGGGGACCAGAATCTCGGCCATTTTATTGGTAGTTGGAGCACAACAACAACATGACCCTTGCGTGGTGCTCTTAGCTTTATTTACACTTCTCCCCTTCGAGCCTAGCTTCGGATTATGCTTTGGTAAGGCAAATTATCTTATGGCATCGCGTTTTGTCTACACGTCTCCCCAAGACACGACGGGATAATGAATCTTGATGGAACCACGAACCAATACGTGAATTTGGATACAAGTACCATCCCAAGTAATGTATCAACGTATGCAAAAACCTTTCATTCCCTTTTTGGATATGCTCGAGCCTGTCTCTCACCTGTTTCCCGCACATATAAATCCTCGATCATGTCGTTCTCCACGATGTTCCCTTATCAGGCGAGAGACGCCCCATCACGTGCTGATAAAGATTCATCAAAAATAGATTTGTTCAATCAATCTTCGAACCCCTCGGAAACCCCTCGGACCCCTCATATTCTACACAGGGACCAAGTTCATACTCCCATTCTTCATCTGGGCGTCGCAACACATCCAAAAGTCCGTTATTCATCTTATGCATGAGGTTATCAAGATTTTTAGCCTTTTCACAAGGTGGATGACAGGCTCAAGGAAGGTGAAAGGCCGAACGATGTGCCACGAATACAAAAGATGTTCGACCTTTTATCAATCATATCTCCATATCTCCACAATGAATCATGCAGGATTGAACGAAACCCCATTTTGAACTCTTTCTCCTCACGCACTTTAAGATAAAAGTTCGAAAATTCAAACTCACAAGTGCCGCGATTGGTGTTCGACGGGTGGAAATCAACCTCGTACTCGAAGAGGGGCAATTTTATTCTTTCTGATTTGCCAAAGAATATAGTAAGTCTTTCGAGCCGGAACACGCATCACGAATCGGAAATCAAAACAATTCGGGAACTATGCGCTTATGGCGCAGGCTCTTATTATTGAATTATTCATTATCTTCCTATCAGCGCGCGACTTTCCCGGATGAATGAAGGCAGGTTGTCGCGAAATGTTGTTTTTGTTTTTGTTTACTCGAGCAAATTGATTTCGGATTCTGGTTGCGAACTTGTACTCCCACAGGTCCAGGTCTGCGGTCTACTGGCCAAGCTTTCCGTTTCGTGGTGAGAAGGGTTCCGCGGAGTTCATTGGACAATGACATGCATCTACGCAACAACGGCAGTATATTGACTTTGAAGGATTGGGATTGAGATTGGGATTGGGATTGGGATTACGATTGCGATTGCGACGAGACTGAACAGCTAGATGACTATTGCACAGATCCAACCACAGTTCATGAATGTACAGACGATGGACACAACACATTGCGCCTTGCGCCAATATGTGTTGGTTTAGGTATCTTTGCTTGCTCTCTTTAGGTTTGAAATGTTTATCTCTCAAGGTATTGTAAAATAAGCCCTCGAATGGTTTTGTGCTGCACACTAAAGTCTAAAATTGATGTGTTTGCGATGGATCATGGAAGTGTCTAGCATTCATCATCCTCTCTAGCATTAACCCAGGAAATCCCCACCCTTTTGCATTTTCCTTCACCAAGCCCCTCATCGTAAATCATCGATATGGCTTGGTGATGTGATGATTTGATGATTGATGATGTTACAATGCTTCAACTCAAATTTTGGACCAAACTATGTCGCACACGATTGAAAGAGAATATGTACATGTATCTACTACCTATGCATCATTACAAGAACAAAACAGCTTGCATTGGAATACTGCACCCTTGATAGGTTGACATGAATCATGCTTAACGTTGGATAGAAAAAGAGTACTCCGTATACCGACCTACATCGTACACACGGTACATCGAGACTTCCATTCATAAGCCACTCAACATGTGCTAATTGGGATTCTTACCTGTTTACGCCGCCATCAATTGTCGTTGATTTGTTGCTGGTACTTTGATGCTTTTCTAGTGGCGGTCATAACCATTTGGACCTATTTTGAGGACCGAAGTAGAGCGTGGAAGACTTATTTTCTTCTAATCAGCTTGGAGCATGAATGCGATTTGAAACTCGTGGCCAACGCATACCATGATCCCGGATCGCAAATCTTCCTTTCGCGATCAAGATGAAGGGGAATCGTAACTCAACAAATGTATTTCTACACCGACAACCACAATCGTCAATTGAAAAGCATATCTATAACTTTCAAGAGAAGAGGAGAAATGCGCGATTCTATCGATTAGCTATAATCACCAATATATCTCTTTTCATTCAATCTAATTTTGCACCGCATTTTATTCCGCACAATCTTCGAACATGTCAAACGAGTACCGTCAAAGGAAAATCGAACATCACACCCATGATCATTCTCAAATCATCCTTGCTTTCAGACGTTGACGCATGAATGTCATTGGCTGGTTATCCAGATTTACTCAAGCACTTGGCCTTTGCTTTCCGTGAGTTGTCTCGACCGCACTGGTGTATTTTGAAGTACGGAGTATGTGTAGCTGAATGGGTGCTGGCCATCAAGTTATGTTTAGAGGAGAAACAGAGTACATGTATGGAGTTCTCTCAAGGTCTAATTTATTACTTCTGAGTCGCATGCATTTGCGCTTGGGGACTTGGATGAACTTATACACACAGGGGGGAGGGGGTGGACATCATCTCCCATGATTGTTGCGAAATGTTGATAGATGAAAGTACTAGGCACACTCGCGAAGATTCCGTGTGTTTCGTTTTCCAAGATAAAGAGGGATTGATGAACGTAGCCAGCCCGAAAACGGGATGGATCCGACTGGAATTGTGTCTTAATATACTCAAGAGCCGAAACTTGACCAGTCCATTGATATGCTCTACACATTTTATGTTGGGATAGATCCTCCAAACAAGGTTGGATGAAGCTTTGATTAATCATGACCACCCAGCGGAGATAATATCATTCCCACCTAGGTCCTTCTTCTCCTGCCAATGGCGGCATAACATGACTTACTTGTGTGAGGATTGGAGACAACGGACTGCGGAGAGAACCTGCCTAGGTAAGTCATGATATCGAATGTGCATAGCCATATTGAGCAGACAAGGCACATGAGATCCATCAGTGAGTGTCAGTGTCAGCTTGAAACCATTTGCATCGAGGATGGATGAACAGAGTCTCGATGAAATACCTCATAGATATATATACACACATGGTCCTCCGTCTCTAGGTACTACTGGGTATGAGGATTTATATGCAATTATGCAATGTGTGTTATGAGAATTGACTCCTTTTCTTTCTCGTTGACATAGATATCAATGTGTAATGATTAAATAGCCAAATTTATCAGAGACAATTTAAAATAGGAATGATGATGAAAATACGTAGATTTGATATTCTTGGTTGTGCCATTGAAGCAAGCATAGAAGGAAGTTATTCAACTCTCCAAATCATATTATTTTATGCAAAGCACCTAACATATTCTGAGTAACGAGGACCGACTTCTTCCATTTCCAAACCACACACTCAATATTAGAACAAGACACCACGGAAAACATACGACTTGATATAATTTCAAGTAAGTATGATATTTGATCATTAAGTCTTCAATATTAGAGTCAATTATCTCGACATGTCATTTTCTCTACCATATCCCCCCTCTCTCTAACCATTCTTTTCACAGGTTGTGAGAGACACCAATTCTACAGGACTACAATTTCCAATGCCTCGATAGGGCTCACAACAACATTCTTTTCCATCACCAGTAAGTTTCAATTCTACTTTTACTTTATGCGATCGGGAAAAACAAGTTCAACATCGCTCTTATATCTCCATTCCAATACAACCGATCGTTCCGATCATTGTCGCAGAAGGAGGGTGTATATTCAGCGGCACTAGATTGGACGACAATGCCATCACCTCACTTCCCCCTTCATCAAATCTCCCTAGGATGTTATCCTCAAGTCTATCACGACTATTGCTAACAGCATTTCCTAATCAGAGCGAACATTTCTCACCTACCCACCTCTGTCCTCGTCTATCCGACTGACTTGCGACGACGGCGACGACAACGACTATACACTTCACACAACATTCGGGATTTCAGATATTAAATATAAATACATTCACTCAATTATAAACATCTGCGACTGATCTGAGCCCAAGCATACTCTCAACATTCATATGGAATTAGCCAACATTATAACTGGGTCTACGTCTTCTTCAAACGCACAAAATCGAAAGGCCGAATCTACCGATCCTCCACAGCGAACACATTCGTACCCGACCCGAAAAATAATCATGTCCGGTACGGATATGCACAATAGAGATGGGCGAAGCGGTACACCACCCGCGCCTCCTTATGCTGGTGCTCAATTCAATATGAACACTCCACACTCCATGGCCATGTCGCCCGCTGGGAGCCCTACCCCAAAGAGCGTCGCATTCGAACTCCTCTTTACACAATCTCCTCAGCATCGTGCGCGACTACCGATGCGTGTCCAAATATTCCCTCACGATACTACAGACTCAATTATTGCCACTGTCAAGAACTTCTACGGTCTATACGCAGATGGCGCTGGTGCGAAAGGTGTTAGCTTCGAAGACGAACAAGGGAACACTCTCATCGCACGTTACGAGAACTTTAGAAACAACATGGTAGTATATGTCAGGGTCATTCAAGAAGAACCCTCTGATGCATATGGCCCATCATCATACGGTTCCGGCTCTCCACGCTTACAGCAAGCCTACTATCCTGGCGAGACGCACTTACCACCCCACCAAGCCCTCAATTATGGCCACCCTGTCTCAAGACCAACGTCTAGGACATCCCGAAAGCGTAGCACTTCTCCTGGCCAAGGTCGTGGCCGTCGTAGTGTCTCTGCCAGTATCAATCAACCGCTTCCGGCCAAAAAGAGCAGATCTCGATCGGGTTTCAAAAGCCGTGGCTCAAGCACTCATGGTAGCTTCCAAGAACTTCATAGCGATGGATTGAATGGATATAGCAGTGGAGATGGAGGAGCTGGATCTGTTACTAGTAGAGCTAAAAGCGAGCACCTTGGTAACACCGAGATTAGTCTTGACAATATTGTGGAGGGAGGTCGACGAAAGAGGGCTAAATTTGAAAGTTCTGTAAGTTTACTTGGCTGCGCATAAGCAGACGATGTCTTCCACACGCATGCTAATGATAATCTGTATCAGGAACTTCCTTTGTTCGCACCACCACAAATGCCCGCTGCGACTTCGAATTCTTCCGTTTCTCCGGCACGTCGCATGGAAAACCAACGATCAAGTTTTCCTTTCGCGGGATTTTCCCAAAATCCTTTCTCCAATGTACCCAACCTTCATTCTCCCAGGAGCTTTGGCAATGCCAACGGGTTCGGAGAGCCTGACCTCTATTCTACGCCAGCAGCGCAAAGCCGCCGAACGCGCGGATCATATCCCTCAGGACGTCAATCTATTAGTACACCAGGAAATATGTCGGATGTACTGCCGACTCCAGATCCAACCATCGGCAGTTGCATGTCAGAGGAAGACAAGGATGTTGCTCTGCAACTAATGAGACTTGGCGACATGTCAAACATCTCTCATGGTCGCATTTCCGCATCAACCCTTGACGACACTTTCAGTGGGCGTGCTGATGCAGCTTCCTCTACTGGCGCTACCAGTAATTGTGAGAGCGAGAGTGAAAATGAACTCCCTTCTCATAGACTAAAGCGTGAGCCAAGCCCGATTCTACCACCTGGGTTTTTGAAAAAGACCCATCCACATTTGGAAGAGAATGTCCCGACAGACAGCACTGAGCCAAGTAGTGATGAACGTGACTTTGAAGACTGTCATGATGGAACCTTCAAGCCAGGTCAAACAGATGATGCTGTTGATAGCGAACTAGCAAAACCCAAGGTCGTCAAGGCTAAAGCCGCTAGGAAACCTTTACCTTCTTCTTCTTTGAAGTCCAAAGCCAACAGAATTAGCAAACCAAATAGACCGACGCCCTTGGTTAAACCAAAGAAAGCCAACAGTGTCTCTGCCTCTAGCAAGGGTCCCATTTCACCCACCTCCCTACCATCGCAATCACGAAAGACCTCTGTGGCATCTACCGCAACTCATCAACACCATCTCGGTGACGATGAAGAGGACCTTTCATCTAAACCACGTTGTCAACGCTGCAGGAAGAGTAAGAAAGGTTGCGATCGTCAAAGACCCTGTGGCCGATGCCAAGATGCTGGACTTGGCATTGATCAGTGTGTCAGCGAAGATGAAGGGAACGGTCGCAAAGGTCGTTATGGGCGCCATATGGGAGTACCTGTGAAGAAAGACGAACTACCACAAGTCCCAATATTCCCATCAGCGCTTTCTGCTAGCGGTGCAAGCAGTTTTGAGAAGAGTAAGAAGAGAAAGAGGTGATTTAAATTCACTGTACCATCGACTCGATCGTCTTACTTCGAGTATTGAATAACCTCACGGTTACATTTCTGTACCAAAAGTTATTTCTTCATAGCAATAATGATCAATTGTCGCGCAATTGGTCATCATCTTCATGGCGACACCAATGTCATCATAACCACATCGAACAAAAGTCTCTTACAGCGCCAGCATTTTGTGTCACTATCTTGATCAACAATTCTTCCCTCGCAGCGTTCAAAAAAGCCTTCATACTTCTTCCTCTTTTCGTAACCGTTCTTTCTTTTCTGTCTAGGTTAAATAACATGGTGCTCTTTTCTTTTATCATTGTACTTTGGTTTAACTGGTGGAGCATTTCAACACATTTCAACACTTTTTATACAATCTCGACACTCCTTTTATGATTAATGGATTCCCATGAACATACTTATGATTTTCTTTTGTTCTTTCTGATTTGCACTTACTGCTTTCAACTGTTTCCCCGTCACCTCAAATTTCGAAGATACTCCTTTGCAGCGAGCAATTGCATGCGTCACATTCTTTTATCAAATTGTTTGTATGTTGGTGGTAGAGGATATATGTATCAATGGGAGGAAAATTCGACTTTTGATGCAAGCGGAGGAGGTCGTCTATCATTTTTGAATGATATTTCATTGTGAGCATTAACTGCTTTTGATTCCATGATTTTGGGTTCAAATCTGGTTCTAATCCCACTCTACTCTCACACTCTCACTTCATTGGGGTTGTTTATAGGGAGTTGAATGGAATGGAACGGGATGGATGGGAAATCGGGAATTGCTAAATGGAGGCGACTATGTGATTTGTGTTCTTTTTTTTTTCTGTCTTGTTCATTGCGATTTGGGTTGGGATTGCAATAGGATTGGTCTGTTTTTTGGGAAAAATGGAGAAATGGAAGAGTGAAGGAAGGGGATGGTGAAAGGAATGATGGGTTTCTTGTTATGATGAATTGAATTGAGTCATATCACGTTTTCCTGTCTGTGTGTTCTCTTTGAATCTCGAACAGTCAACTTACTACTACCTATTGAACTGATCAAATTGGATCGAATCAAATGGAGAATAATTGATTCATTGAAAGGGACAGATGGAATGGAACTTTCATAGTGAAAAAAAAATATTAAAAATATATTTAAAATTGTTTGATTTGTTGTGTTGTGTGCGATGCGATGCGATGCGCCTAATTTTGTTTTGGGGGGTTATAATGCAGTTGGAGGGGATTGGTTAAGCACAGCGATGGATGCGATGCCCCTTCATCTTTAGCGATATCTTCAAAGTGTCGCGTTGTATGTCGCATTGCGATTTGTGGCATGCATGATAATATATTACACCATACCATACCATACCATACCATATCAATGAATGCGCAAATAGATTCTCGCGAATTACTTGAATGTATGGGTAGGTGGGTAGGTGGGTAGGTAGGTAGGTGGGTGGGTGGGTAGGTCAGGTATGTGTATAGAGATAAAAGGGAAAGGAAAGGAAAGGAAAGGAAAGGAATGTACGGTATAGTATAGTATAGTATAGTACAACTTGGATGGAGTGAAAGGGTAGGGAAGGGAAGGGAATATTTTGTGTGTGTGTGTATGTGTGTCTGTTGTTAGGTAGATATATAAATCTTTGATTTTTGATACCCACTTGAAGAAAGGAAAGAGTATGGGTGGGGTGAGCATGATTGATTTGGGATTTGATTCTTGAGATAGGAAATAGGAAATCATATGCTATGATTTGATGTGGTATGAAATGATATGCGATTAAATGATGTGGAATCAGTTAATTACTATCAGTAGTGTGTACCGACTCGAACAATAGCGTTGATAGTTGATCGTTCGTTGGTAGAGGAGAGTCGCGACGGCGGCACGCGGATGAACCCGGGAAAAGCGGGGTGACTTACTTGGGTTGGTGAGTGATTGGATCATCATTGGTTGGCGGATGGCTAGTGATAGGCGAGGGAGAGATGCCGATGGGAATGACGTTATGGGTTTTATTTTTATTTTTGTGTGAGAGGGTTGAGGGTTGGGCCGGGGTTTTACCGGGTGCTGGAGCTAGGTGGTTTGGGGTTAGTGGGGGAGAGGGAGAGGGATGGACGGATAGATAGCATGGTCGATACGGATACAGCATCTGTTTGTTATCCAGGTTGTTTTGTTGATCAGAGAAGATGGGTCCAAGAGGGTGTGAGGGATAGGGTGTGAGATGTGAGATGTGAATACTCGGGTCCCGGGGATGGATAGGTAGGTGTGTGAGGGATTATAGATTCCATTACGAACCGAGTGGACTGAGTGATGCTGGGATAGAATTCGGGTTTGGGCCGAGAATGGGAGTTTGTGATGATTGTCAAGGTAAGGTTCGAGGGTTGATGGAGGTAGGTATGGAGTACTCGACGTTGGATGGAAGATGCAGGGTGAGGGAGGAGAGGGGAGGGAGGAGAGGGGAAGAAGGGTGACTTGGATATGAAGTATCAATGATAAGATAAGGTAGGACTCTTGTTTCGATTTTGATCTCTTCGCTATCTAGTAGGTAAGTTATGAAGTCTTTAGATTACTCTGATATTCTTTCTGCGTCTCGTCGTCGGTAAGCATGACATGAAGCGGCGTGATGGATTACTCGGTCACGTGATGAGTAAGCTCGTGATAAGCTCTTTCAATTCGTTCTCCGACCTTCCTATCTAAGTATATCTAGGTTCCCTGTCTATTGGTTGCTATAATTACATTGCTTAGTTTCAAAACAATGGCGACTGCACTATTGTGATGCTTTAGTTGTATCGTCTTCCCTTGGCGTCGACCTCACTCATCATCATTCGTTCATCACTTGAAATATGTCAATTGTCATAGAAGAGCTGGGGAGAACCGAAAATGATATACAACTACCCGTATTTCCAACCGAACGTACGTCGCATCCAAATTCCCTCTGTATTTCACAACCCCCTGACAATAACAGCAGAACCAATACCATCCCCAATTCCCACTCCTACAATAGTAACCTGGGACGGACCATCCGATCCTCACGATCCATTCAATTGGTCCCCCCGCAAAAAATGGCTCGTAATCACTCTCGCACTTCTTGCCAGCTTCATCTCCTCCATGAACGGTACCATCCTATCCGTCGCGCATAATCCCATCAATACCGAATTTCACATTTCTGATTCGCACTTCCCGAACTCCTATTGGCCTATCGCATCATGGGGAGTCGGAGGCGCAATCTTCTCGCTTGTTTTGTTTCCCGTCATGGAAGATTTTGGGATTCGACCGGTGTTTCTTGGCACGTATTTATTGTTCGTCGCCTCCTTGATTCCGATTGGGTTTGCGAGGAATTTTGAAACGTTGGTGGTGGTGAGGTTTTTTAGTGGCGGGTGTGTACAGCTTTTGAGTAATGCGGTGGCGGGAGTTATTTCGAATGTTTGGAGGGATGATAGGGAGAGGAGTGTGCCGATTAGTTTGTATGTGACTACTTATCTTGTTTCAACGAGTATGGGTCCTGTTATTGGTGCTGCAATTCTGCAATATCTGGATTGGCGTTGGATCGGACATATTGAGTTGATATGGACAGTTGCGTTCTTCCCCCTCTTCATATTCTGTCTTCCAGAGAGTCGTGGCTCCGCTATTCTACTAGCTAAAGCAAAACAACAACGTCAGGAAGGAACAGAAATATACACAGCAGAAGAACTCCATAAGCAGCCCATCCACAAAATCCTCATCAAAAGCGTTCAAAGACCCCTCTACATGCTCCTCACCGAATCTGTCGTCTTCATCGCCACTCTCTGGGCAGCATTCAGTCTCGGAACCATATACCTCTTCACCCAATCCGTTGAGCAGGTCTATTCCCAACTCTATAATTGGAATAGTTTACAAGCTGGATATGTACAGCTTGCGATCGCCATTGGCGAGTGCGTAGGTTGTTTACTCTGCATGTATACCAATTCCTGGTACTACGATTCTGCGTCCCGAAATACAGAAGTCCCTGGAACCCCCATCCCCGAAGCACGTCTATATCCCTCTGTAATTGGCGGGTTCTTGGGAGTCACGGGCGGAATGTTTCTCTATGGATGGACATCCCTTTCCTCTCTGCACTGGCTCATCCCCACGATTGGACTCTTCCTCGTGGGCTTTGGAACATCGGCAATCATCATCAGTAATGCGAATTACCTCGTAGATGCATATAGCAAGTATGCGGCGAGTGCGTTGGGCGCAGTGGGATTGGTGGAGAATATCGCGTTGGCTTTTATACCATTGGCGAGTGAGAGGATGTATACGGATTTGAGATTTCAGTGGGCGAGCTCGCTGTTGGGGTTTGTGAGTCTGGGACTGGTGGCGACGCCGTTTGCGGTATTTAGGTGGGGGAAGGTAATTAGAGGAAGGAGTCCGTTTATGAAGGAGGCGGTATTGGAGAAGAGAGGTTTGATGGTTGGAGATGAGGGGGCGGGTGTGGGTGTGAGGGAGGTTTGAGGGCTGAAGGGAGTGGTGCTTGGTTATATTGCTTCAATGAATCCTTGAGGGGATGAGGCCCATGAGTTCATTATATTGATTATCGGCTGCAACTTTTAGAGAATTTGTAAACTGCATATTCTGATGGATACATATAAAGTTTTACGTCTTCTCTTTGCTCATCTTCAAGGAGATTTTTTTCCACTCGTTGGGGCCGCCTTCAACTTCAACTTGAGCGCAAAAATCATATACGCGTTATAAATTGTCCTACATAAATACTCATATACTAGTACCAACTAGCCTGATTCCTCTTCTTCCTAAAAATACTCTCCGAAACCACAAGTCTATCATCCAACACACTCCAATCGATTTCCCTATCCTCCAACCCCATCGAAAACTCAACCGGAAATTCCCTCCTCCCTCTCACGCTATCATCCTCCACCAACCGTCTTCTCGCTCCTCTAATCCTCAAGAACTGTTTCTACATATCATTCGCAGCGAGCATATACAATTTCTTGAATTTCACAGCCGCGTCTTCAAATGGTTGGGGCATCTCCACTACCATATCCTGAAGTTTCCGAACCGCAACTTCGCGCTCCATGATTTCGTAATGGCCGTGATATTCGCAACGGATCAGTGCGATCTGACGACGCGTTTCGAGCGGAACATCACGGGTAAATGACGCGGCGTATTCTGCGAGTACCCCTAATGCTTCTGAGAAATCGATACTTTTTGTTCTGTTTTCGGGAGGGAAATCGGAAGGCCAGTTGAGCGCGCTGCTGCCTTCCCCTCGTTGAGAATCAAGTATCTGCTTCTCGAGTATCGAAACGCCCTTCCAGATCCCGAAATTTTTATTTTGTTTCTCGGTGTACTCGCGCAATTTCTGGACTTGTTCGAGGATACGTGTATATTGTGGTTCTAGGTACTCAATCACGGCTTTGCGGTTATTCCGCAAAGCAACGGTATCGCGTCTTCTTACTGCGGCTGCGGTGTTCGAAAGATGTCGGTTTATGGGGTGAGATTTGTAGTTGTTGTTTTGAGGACCAAATGGATTCGAGAATTGGATGGGATTGGGAGTTTTGGCTTTGTAGGGATTGGGGGTGCTCTGGTAGGAATTTTGGTAGAGCCAATTGGTGGCCATGTGTTGCTTGAAGGGTTCGTAGCGTTCGAAGGCTTGGGCGTAGGAGAGAAGGCTGTTGTATGTATTGGAGGGGGATTCGACTGCAAGATTTTGTGCTGTGGAGGTGACTAGGCCAATAATTCCTGAGTGCTGGATGAGTTGGTAGGTTGAGTTCTCGGGAGGTGTGTTGTTTAGAGTAGTATTTGGATTGGCGTCTTCGTCGGCTGGTGTGGTGTCTTCGTTTGGATTTTCGTCAGATGGTATGTCATTTCCATTGCTCTTCTCGCCGTATGGGAACACCAAACTTCCCACTCCCCGTAACATCTCCAATGGTCTTACCAGCCTCAATTTTTCAGCTTCCGTGGGTACGATACCCAGATATTCGGATCGTATGGGAGCGTCTCCCTCCTTCTTTGCTCTAACAATCATCTCCAGAGTATGCGGTGGTACTTCACAAAGTGTAACCAAATGGCAAAAAGGCACCAAACTATATTCGAGCAATGGTCTCAAGAACGAAAGTGTATTTTCCATAGTTGAGCTCCTCGCCTCTTGCATTCCAAGCCTTAATAAATATTGATTTCGAGTTCTCCTTTGTCCAGAAACAGGCGGTAAACTAGTTCTTGGATCTATTGGCAAAGTCCTCGTGAATTTGTATTCCTCGTGTGTTTTCATAGAGACTACAGGAAGAGATATATCGCTTTGACCAGGAGACCCATACCAACTGACTTCAACTCTCCATTAACGTACTTTACACAGATATAAAGTAGACTCGGGTGCAACTTTGAAAATATCGGCATTTTCTCTCCAATATCTCGTAGGTGCACTTCCGCTAATGAAATCTGCAAGTGTGAGACGGAACATGCGGGTGCTTTTCATGGCGACGAGATAAAATGTATTGAGGCCGTAGAGAACGGTAGATGCTTCTCCGTAGACTTCTTTGCATGTTCTGAGAATTGAAGGCTCGAGTTCGTATTTTTGTTGCACGCCGAAATCGGTTTCGGCACTTATACATCCTGCTTTGGAGAGTATGGGGTTGAGGAGGAGATAGGAGTAGATTTGTGTGCGGACGTCGGTGGAAAGACGTGATATGAAGGGACAGCTGTTGTTGGGTATTGTTTTGTTGACAGAGGAGAGATTGGATAGTCGGTTGAGGATGGACGGAATATTAGAAGTCGCTGTGGTGTTTTTTCTGGGTGGCTGAGGAGCGGATAGTCGGTTTAGGAGGTCGGTCACAGGGGAAGTATTTGCATGCGCTGGCTGCGCTTGCACGAGAGAAAGGTCTGGCGTCATTATTGCTTGCTGTTATGACAATGTTTCTAATTGCCTTGGACGATAGGTGGAAATTCTAAAGCGCGCAAGTTGGTGAGGAGAACATTGCAACGGCAGTAATGTTGAAATCTGAGAGTCACCTTGTTTGTTAGTTGAAGATAACACAAACACACTCGCGCGACGAGGCTGATTATATTGACGCTGACGTCAATTTTATGATGGACTTGGTGATGTAATTATTAAATTCTCATAAACTGAAGAACTTCTTAAATACAGGAAACCCCGTTACAATTCTCGTACAGCTCTGAAGTGCTAAAAGTTCATTGGTTTAAATCCTGTGCTCCAGAGTTTTGATTTCGTACTAATAAAGGCGAGTGAATGTGAAAGGGAAAAAAGCATATCCAACTACTGTAAGAAAAACACCAATAGAATAGTAGAGAATGATTCATGTATCTAATACTGTGCAATCAAAAGTGAGACGTTGAGTTCTCGTCTAATTTTTCCTGATGGTTGCATATTTGTCGACAACGTGGGGTGTAGGTTTTCATGTGAGATGAAGCGAGAGGTCTTGTGGTGATTGAATGGGAGGGAGTGGGAGATTGAGACAGTATTGTCTGAATATTCGGAAGGAGATAGAGAGATCCCTTCATGTTTTGGGTTTGGAAAGGGCAGGTTTTTTGTCTAGAAGGATGAGTGAAGATGTGGGATTATATGAAATGAGGATGTGGACTGATAGGTTTGCTTGTACCTAGTGTAAATTCTAGAAGATGTACAAGAATTGAAAGCATTAAAATGGTAAAGGTGTGGTCTCACACAAGCAATCTACTTTTTTGCCGTGCCTCAGTGTCTAGCTAGCTTTACTGAACTTACGCTCCCCATGATATTGCTTTGATGGTTTCGGGAACTCTCTAATAGATAATAATGAGATGGTGAATGGTAGAATTGAAGTCATGATTGCACTGTTTTATTTGAGGTTTATTATATTGAAGTCTCGCATGTATAATAGCTTCGCTAGTCTAGCCTGCTCGTCTCACCGTTTTCATGCTACATCGTCAGTGACTGGTATCTGATCATGCCAGGGTCATTGACACTCCAATAAAATCGTTCTCTATTGGTCTGTTCCAGCTGTACGTTAATATCACAACCCCAACTCAATGAAATATCACAACTGTAAATCTCTCTTCGAGCTTCCTGTATCTCTTCAAGCTGATTTTCCATATCATCGAAAGCAATGATGAAGTTTTCGGCCTAGGCATTGTAGTTACAACCATCTTGGAAGTTTTGAATGAGCTGTATTGCCTCCTGGATGGCTATTTCTCTTGGCATGGAGTTATAATACCCATCAAATTCTGCTCGCATTCTCGCGATCGTTGCTATTGCGGCGAAAGTCTGCTCGCGCTTGAATGTATCAGCGTATGCTTCAAGCAGCACACAGCCATTTGCTCTTCCATTGTACTGTCGCGATATTCTTGCGAGATCAAGTCGCTCCAAGGTTCTCTCTCTATTAACGTCGAATAAGTCATAGTTACGTTTGTGTTTTCTGATGAAAAGGTGTATATCCCTCGACACCTGTAAGATTCGCCAGTACTGCCGCTCTAGATATTGTAAGATAATGCGATATTCTGACTTGAAAGTGACGGCATCGCTATCATCCACTGCCGTGTTCCATTTATCCAGTCCGACCTCAACGGGATGCCGGAGATGATCTTGAAATTCATCATAATTATGAGGCCAATATGGGTTCAAACAAATTTCCATCGGGCTTATCCACGACCCGATGGTTTTTTGGCTCAAATTTAACGCGCCGAGTAAGTTCATATAGTGGAACTTCATGATGGGCCCTGTTTCTGCCCATCTCTTTTCTGTAAAAATTAAAGCGTTCATATGTCTTAGCATAGTTCAGTAGAGATTGATTCATATTGCATAATAACTCAACTGTGGAGTTTCCAGTTACTAGAGCCTGCAATTCGGCTTGTAAAAGTAAAGGAATCGGATGGTACAGAGAGTCTTTCGTAACATAATCTACCTCGCGGTATGTTATATTTTCTTCAAAATGGTTGTAGAACCTTGGACAATCAGTAGGCTTTGCATTCGCAAATCGTAATTCCCCAATGTTTCTCATATTTCGTAGTGCTTGGACAAGCTCTACAGCTAATCTCAATCTTTTCAAAGCTTTTATTGAGTATATTGGAACAAGTATTGCCCCTGTCCCCTCTTCTGACACGACAATTATTTCCAAAGAAGTTGGCGGGAGCGGAGCATTACAGATCTCTCTGCAAAAAGGAGAAAGATTCCACCTTCCCCAGGTATACTAGAGCTCAACGGTACGAATTATTGTTTTCCATCTCCTGACCTTTTGCATTGTCAAAATGTATTTAGACCACACCTTTTGAGTTTTCAATTTTTTGGTGGTTGTGTGATATCTTGCAATTGGACATCGCCGAAAGATGTCCTGGAAATGATCAACATCATACTGGCTAACGCCAACAAAGAAGAAGGTATTGCAACCGTACAGAACCTCTGAAGCTTCGAAATAAATATGTTTGCATGTTCTTAGGAATTCAGGGCTTAGATAACGCATCGAAATCAGATTGAATAATAGTAAAACATGACATGGGAAGCAAGAAAAGTATGATGTATTGACGCAAACTCATTAGAGAAGATATATCGAAAGTAGATAGCCACGTGAACCTAGGACTCACCAAGATTAGCGTATTCACCCCGCCAAGACGTAAAGCATACTAATAAGGAGGCTCAAACTCATTTTTTGGCAGTAGATGCAACCGACACAGTCCTAGATGAAGCACAAAATGTGGATTTTGAAGGTGTCTCTTGGCTACCCATGTTTTGATTAGCTGACTTTGGAACAGAAATCATGGATCAGCGTTCTTGGTCACCTTGAAGATAACGTATTGCCATGTTTGAGATGTGGTGTGGGATTGTCGTTTGCACCAGTCAAGTCAGCCACCTATCCGAGTTGTGAAGCATTTATCATATTTGCTGATGATTATCGGAATCTTTTCCACCAAAGTTGTGTCTAGTTTGATGAGTTATTTGAGCTATCAGTGGCCGCAGAAGAGAGCGCAAGAGCGAAATCATCAAAATTCCCGAGTTACGGAGGTTTGATTGTGGAATGGAATAATTGCGTAAAGAATGTGGAGTTAAAGGAACGGGAATGAGAACAAGAATACGAGACTCAACCATTAATATAGTACCGAGGATAGCAGTCTATGCGTTATGAATGATTGATTGCCAAAAGCCTCAGAGAAGAACTCGAGTGACAACTATATTAATATTTACGAATAGTATATTTGATATTCAAAAGGTTATTATGTGGTGAAGTTTGAATAGGGGTCATCAAAGTAGCATCGCTTGTCTCGTTCAATTATGTATCGACAAACCTCCTGCCAATACCAAACACTCCTCTTATCTACTGTCGTTATTTTCCTTCTCATTATAGTAGCAATTCAGCATGAAGAAATCTCCAATAAACAAAAACTACCAATCTCTACGAAGTCCTCCAACTCCAGCGTGGTCATCTCCGCGCCCCTCGCGACACATTCATCAGAAGCTCCGGGATTTCCCAAAAAGCTATGGTATAAAGTAGGGCCTCAAGGTGTTTCGGACGAGGCAAAACGATTTAGACATCACTGTCTCGATATCAACCCAGGCTTTGAATATGAAGTGCTCACTGATGCATTCGCGGATGAGTACTTGTGGAAATGGTTTTCCCACCGTCCAGATATTTTGAATACCTATTTTTCGCTCAGTATACCGATCTTGAAAGCCGATTTACTGCGATATTTGATACTGTATGCTTATGGAGGAGTGTGGTTTGATTTAGATGTTTCGTGTGAGGATATTCCCATCGACGATTGGGTATTGGAGGAACATCGAACGGCAAACCTTGTCGTCGGTCTGGAGTTCGATTATGACTATCAAGAAGATACTGCGATGTATTCGCAATTCGCGAGCTGGACTATTATGGCAAAACCCAGGTCTCCACATCTAATGCAGGTCAGTAGTAGATAATCCCTAACTAATTAGGTTTCTAATCATTTGATGCAGGTTATCAATGATATCTTGGACGAGCTTAATGAGATCGCACGACGAAACGAAGTATCAATCGAAGGAATAGAGTTGAGCATGATAAGTGATGTGGTGGATATAACGGGACCAAAAAGGATGACGTGGGGAATTATCAAAAGTCTTAAAGAGATCCTCGGAAGGGAACTTGATGATAGGGATGTTGGAGAATTGAGAAGTGCAAGATTGATTCATGATGTGTTGATTTTGCCGGGAAATGCGTTTGCGGGGACGCAAAATGGATTTAAGAAAGGAAAAGGAAAGGTTTTTGTGAACCATCATTATGCAGGGACTTGGAAGAATAAGTTCGGTGGCGAGGCTGAGAAAGGCTCTGAGAAAGAGAAGGAGATTGAGGAAGAGAGAAGGATTGAGCAAGAAATGGAAGAGAGGAGGATTAAAGAAGAGAGGATTGGCCAGGAGAGAATTGATCAAGAACAGAAAGACACGGAAGAGCAGGAGACCGAACAGAAGAATGAAAATGAGCAAGATAAGGCTGCTGCAGAGGAGAAAGAAGAAAAGGAGACCAAACAGCAAGCAGAGTCTGAGCAAGAAGATAAAATTGAGGAAAAGAATGATGCTGAAGATGCTGAAGATAATGAAGCCAAAGAGAAAGAAGAATCCGAGCCAGAAAAGGAGAATCTGTGAGCCAGAATGGCGTATAGAATTTTTCCAGATTGGGAAGACCAAAGGGATATGGGAATTTTTTCAAATAATCTAGACAATAAAACGATGAAAAAAATTGTCTAGAATCACAAAAATTCGGAAACGGTTGAACTCAATATACAAGTGTTGAGTAGACATGTTTGGGTTGAAGAATTGAACACCAACACCGAGAAAGGGATCAGTCCAGACACTTGGCCTGATTAGTCTTTCATCTCAAATTCCCTGAGTTCTTCCTTTGATTCCTCATCCAAAGATTACAAAGTGTTGTTTTAAATGCTGAAAGGCCATTCAATTTCACTTCGCGTTCTTACCCTATGCATCTCGTACTTTTTCTCAAAGAGGCTCCATACACTCCTATTACCTATTCGCGGTGCCCTGCGGCAACTCCTGTGGGCAATCAATTGGTTGGACCCTTGAATATTCTTCCGCTATTCAGCTTCTGTTACTAGAATATCTATTTTAAAAAACGTTGTTGAAGAGTCGGAAACACGTTGTAGAAGCGTACAAAGAAGTATGTTAACCAATCAAGATACCCTCCACTAGAACACAGTAAAAGAAACCATCAAAGAAAGCTCCATCGATTCATTTCAACATATTCTATTAATCTTCCCTAGGAATTGACCCATGAAAATTCATGAACCTAGCTAAATCAAGCATAGTTCAATGTAGAAACGACAAGCATCACAATGCCCGCCCACTAACAATCTAGCTTTCCAGTTATCTTCCTTACATTCCCCAATCTTCCTGCTCCACATCCTTAGAATCAACCTCTACTCTTTCACTCCTATCTCTCAGCTTCCCCAAACTCTCCAAAATCGTCTGTACATGCCCCTTAGATTCTCTATCATCTCTCTCTTCCTGGCCCTCATCACTCTCGTCAATATCTGCGTCCTGCGAAACCACATCAACCTTTCCAAGTTCTTGTCTAAGCGCCGATAGTAATTGCGCAGCAGCAGCCAAATCGTCATCTGTATCGGGGTCGTCTTCTGGGGTTTCGAGCTCAGATTGGATTGCTTCTTGAGCAGCTAACAACTGCGCGTCTTCATCTTCGTTTTCTTCCTGGTACCCATCCTTACTTTTCTGTCTATTCATCAAGACTTCCCATTCCTCTTCCATATCTCTGACACGATCCTTACCACCATCAAAGACTTCACCCTCTCCTTCATCCCCAGCTCTCTCATCCTCACATTCCAATCTAATTTCCTCCACCCCCTCGCCATTTTCATCACCATCGCCCAGCACATCTTCCACAATCTCCATCCATCTCTCATTTGCCTTCTTTGCTAGTCTCATTCGTTTCTCCTCTCTTATAGGGGCGCCGAGCAAACAATCATCGCAGTCCGAATAGGCATATATATCTTTCTTGATCAGATTAGGCGGGCCACAGACCATACGACCGAGTGGAAAGTTGAGGGCGCAGGAGTGTACTACGAGAGCTGTGCATAGACAGTTGAAGTGCGTGAGTGTTGTTTTGCACATGATTCCTGACTCGAGGGATGAATTTTGAAAAGTGTTTTCGTGGGTGTGGATTCTCTTCTTTTTCGAACTTGACTACGTGGGGCTGAGATTGTTCGAGATGATCGAATCTGGAATGATCGAGAAATAGCGGTTTGTTTGCAGATGAGTGTTGAAGTATCTATCTTTCTCAAAGTCGAAGGTCAGAGAGGAGCGTTGACCAAAAGCTGCAGGAAATCAATATTAAATTTCCTTTTGTTGTTTCTCGACACGAATTCATATATAGAGACGCGATTTTGAAAAGGTGATAGGTTTAAATAGAAAAGTTTCTAAGTACGGTTGTCTGATGAAAGTGAATCGGATACAATCTTATTTGAAAACCAAGAAAGTAGCGGATAAGATAAAGTGAATTGGGACTCGTGAGGTTATTCGGATGACCACTTCAGATAATTCTTCGTTATTACTGGCATCTGTTAATCTCGCTTTACCACTTGGGACTTCACTTGAAGTTGAGCTTCACTTGACAAGTAGACATCACTTTTGGTTAAATGGCCAAATCCGAACGAATGTTAGGAATGATGATTCTAGAACGATCTCATAAGGTGGTTTCATGAAGTTTTCTGTTTCGCCCTACTTTGAATGAGACTTTGAAGATCGAATCTCGCCTGTAGACTAACCTCACTTTTGGGGGAAAACATAGAGATGTCATCTCGTCAAGTGGCAGGGTTTTCTGTAAGTATTTGACATGGCATCTAAGTCTTGTGGCAGCATGTGTAGGATCCATTTCTTTATGTCTAGCTATTGGGGTTGACACGATGTCATTTCAAAATGGTAGTTAGAAATTATATGCACTAGTCAAATTTGTGAGCAGATAAATGATATCAAAGGGAAAAGAAATAAGAGAGTGTTTGGCCATGCCTAAAAACTGTACCATTTGGTTCTATTGCAATGTCGGTTTCATAAAAAATTTCATCGATATGAACAAAGAGAACGTGAAAATAAGTTCTTAACAACTGATTAATTACTTTCGAAGCATTGAGAGCATTTGAAACATAGGGATTGTACTCGACCTCTGGACAGGCTGCGAGACAGCGGCATTGTTCAGAGATTTCGTGAAGATAGGCTCAGGGGTTTAACAAAGAAGCGATGGATTTCCTTGTTCCTACTTCAATAAAGAAATCCAGAGAACAGACGTTGTACAATGCTATTGTTCTTTCTATAACTCTCAGGAAGTAAGTCCAGATTATACCCCCTTTCTTTTGTCGTTAAGAACTCAAACACTCTCTCCCAATTCAACAAAATAGAGCACACAAAAACACCTGCAAACATTACATCAGAAACTTAACTTAGAAGCCGGACTTTTTTTTTCAGCTACAGATCAACAATCAATCGATAAACCAATCAGAATGTGCTTTGCAAATCGAAGTCGCTGCAAGCGATGCAGCAAGGAAACCATCCAATACGTTTCCAAATGTGAGCAATACCCTGAGGTCACCACCCAAACCGCCACTCACGCCATTCGAGGCCGACATCGCCGAATCAGATGCTGCAAGGAATGCAGGCGCACCGAAAGACAACAAGCTGCAGAAGAAGCCGAATCAACCACTATGCATCACCAACAAGCCAAAGCTATCCTTGAATGGCAAAGATTGGAGCGACCGCTTCCATTGACCGATGAAGCTATTGCTAGTAAGTACACTGATCTCTTCATGAACCAAGGGAGACTTCATCCTTACTGTATTGGCTTTACTGACATGCATAGAAACTGTATTTCAGGACACAGACAACATCTTGCGGCCCGTTCTAGGGAAATCCAGGAAGCACTTGATGAAGTCGAAAGTGTATTGACTGATGCTGAAATCGAAATCATCTCCATGGTCCTCTCCGAAGACGAGATGTTCGACGAGTGCATTCAAAGACAAGCCGAAATCGATTCTGGCGCCAGAACCATGACTGAATCCGACAAGGGGTTTTCATTACACGAAGTTGGTAGCACTCGAAACTTCAAAAGAGCCATGGAAACGATTAAATTGGCAGCGAGAAGAAACAACTTTGGAACTTGGACCGCAGACATGCCGGATCGTTATGTTGCCGAAGACAGAGTTCGTCGGGAAATCATCTCCTATATCGACGCCTTGGAACATGCTAACGCAGATGATGACAGAATCGACAAATTCATCAGCCGGGTCATGCGCAAATTTCAAAAGGATGAGGAGACCTTCGACTTTGATCCCAAGGCCCGCACCTTGACGAGTGAGATTCCTATATGGGGCAGAGTCGAAGATCGCAAGACCTTCTGCGAATGGAAACACGAGAACGAGCAATCGTTAGAAAACTTCACGGGAAAATTTGACCGATGGTATACACTTATGAATCAGTATCGAAAGTACTTGGTAGAAGTTGCCCCAGCCCAAGCCACTTTATTCTCGATTTCACGAAACACGATCGCTGCACGCATGTTTCGGGCTCTCGCTGGGAGACCCGAACCAGCATCATTAGCAAATGTACCCGAGTCCAAACAACCCGCACTCCAGCCTCACGATAATTCCGATGACGAAGTGAGTTCCTTGGAACTAAGCGATTACGTTAATTCTGATTCCGAGGATGATCCTTCTAACATGGCATTATCAGATTCCTCCGGCAACGAATCCAGCGGAATAGAGATGACACCCTCCCGACAACGAATCCAGCAATCCCTTGCAGGACTCGCGCAATTGGTTCAGATCTCTAACGAATTCATCCGCGAACTCCCAGGTCTAATCGACACCGGAGCTGCCTATCTCAACCAATGCATTCGCTTCTTAAACGACCGATTAGCTAGCGATAGCAATCCAACAGAAGCAGAATGGGAGATTGTTAGACAGTACACCGCAAACGCCATGGAGATGCTCAATCATTTGAACGATGAACGAAATGCCAGAGCTAGCAGACAAGCCGAGCAAGAACAACCTAGTGCGTGGCACGAACCAACACCAGAACCAGAACCCTTTTTCGTTGATGTCACACCCATGGAGGTTGGGGTCATTGAGGAGGAACCCGATGACATTGCCTATGGCCGTCGCAGTATCTTTGGTCTTTCATCGCCAGCGGAAGGCAACGAATGGTTACGATTAGAGGAGGAAAGTGAGGATGGAGAAGTTTGGCGTGGTGAATTGTTTGAAGAGGATGAATAGTTGTTTTGGACAACTTCCTTTGTCTTCTCTTTCATTTCATTATTCATTGTCCTTTGTCTTTTCTAAACAGCTTTGTAATGATTCACGAGATATGACGAACTTCTCTCTTTCTTTATTGGGAGTTTGGTGGAATCTGGGAACCATGGGAAATATAAAGGAAAAATGAATGGCCTTGTACAATATAGAACAGAACATACATTTTATTTATAGAAAATAGGAATTTAGATAACAAACAATAAACCTCAATTCCAAGTGACATGTAAAATGACAGATTCGATTGCGACCCTCATAAGTGAAAATTCATCTACACATAATGTACACTAATCATTTCCCCAAAACAAGCACTCGACTGTAGAAACCGCTCAGTCGTTATCCTAATAAGACCAATGGGTCACTTATCATTATAAACATCTTTGCTACTTCATTTTCGATCCTAAATCTTCATTCACCCTTTTCCCCAAAAGAAAAATATCAGTAGAAACATCTTCATCTCCGATCACTCCTTAACCCTCAAACAGATCGTCTTCCCCATGATTCGACATCTACCGAAAGGTTCGTGAAATCATGAACCACAAATCCCAGATATGAAAATACACCATTCACCCTCTCTCTCACTCAAAATTTCACCGAGCATCTCTTCGCATGTACTTCTGCATCCTCACTTTCACTTTCACCTTCACTCCCCTTTTCCTTCCTCCACTTCCTCAATATATTCCCGGGAAATTCTTAGCGCAGCGCCAAATCACACTTTCACCTGATCTCAACTTGAGTTCTCATCTCTCGTCTTGTTTTTCCACGCACTCTCTGCTCATTCCTCTCCTCTTCTTTCTCAATGCGATTGATCACAACGATTGCCACAATTCCAAGAACTTGAATCGCGCTCTTTTCTTCTCTCCCCTCATCTCATCTCACCACGAGAAGCTTTTAAGATCTTGAGAGCAGCAAGCTCATTCTCTTATGAGCAATGCATATGAATGCGAACAAATATCGATGGATCGAGTACAAATGTTGGGAATAGACAAATACCAATGGTTTCACAGATCGAATTAGATTACCGAGTCCCTGTAGCCCACATCGAAATTTCCAGCTGCGTCAAACAACTGATCGCGTGGCAACTCCGAGTGCGAATTTATTTCATTGAAAAAGCAACTGTGTTTTGATTCTTTCTCGTTCTTCAGGCGTAAATGTTCACATGTTTGCAGTCGTGGAGATGAAGTGAAGAGTATTCAAGCTGATGCGATCTACAGGACCTCAATCTCATCTCAAACAATTCATCAGCGCATGACAGGTAGCAGGTAGCACTAGACCGTCTCGAAATCATGTGTCGTTTCATCTACAGTCTCGCAGCCTGCGGGCACGGGTTTATAACCGGTAAGCAGAAACGCGAACAGCATCTAGCCTGGGAGGCAGAATCGAGTCGAGGAAGTGCTCCCCCTCCTGCATGTTCTACTCCTGAAGCCGATCTTCACGATGTGCAAACCTACGAGGGCAACTGTTACGATGGCAAGCAGAAGTTTAGCAAGAACTTTGGTCTGGATATGGTAGAACTTCGCGAGGAAGCCATTCTCATCAAGCGCGACATGAACAAGGCAATCCTAGCTGCTGATGATGTGTATACTGGAAAGCAGAGATATGAGATCTTGAAGCGGTTCGAGCTCTACAACCAGGCTTTCGAAATGATGTTTGAGGACGCTGAGCATGCACTCCAGAGTGCTCAGGAAGGGCTTATTCGCGTTCAGGGAGAAGTTGATGGTGCTAAGAAGGAAGCTGCTGAATGGAAGAAGTATGCGCGCCTCTTGAAAGTTGACGAATAACAAAATGGGGATGTGTTGAAAAGTCGTCTTTCCGTCTCGAAGAAACATAATGCATGGTATAAAATCTAGAAGTATCAGTCAGGTAGCTTAAACTTAATGAAAAGCCTCCGCACTTCATATCACACAATCAATTGAATCACGACTCCAAAATATCTGATGCTCTATAGCTATGAGAAAAATTTATAAACGTAAAATTGACTGGGTATAAGTGTTGTTAAAACGCTAAGTATCATGTTGTTGAAAATGCATCATTAAAAATCATAGTTCCACCTCCTCCTACTCTTCCCCTTTCTTTCCCTCCCTCATAATCTTACAATAACCAATCCAGGAACTTGCCCCATGCAGTCGTAGGTATCGGTTCCACCGGCGCAGAACTAGCATCGAATCTGCCGGAGAACAAGTCCACGTCCTTCGATCTCGATATTTTAGTGCTCTTGAATATTTTCCAGAAAACGTATGGTGCGATGTAGATGACGATACCGATATAACTAGCAATGAAATCCGCCGTGCTCCAATTGCCCTTGATGAAGACACCGAATCCAGAGAAGATAACAATGATTCCGGACCCAATAGCACCGACATATGCGGCGAGTGGTTGGCAGCGTCCTTTGAAAGGAAGGTTGTTACGATCAACGCCTTGAGCGACGCAAGCGTGATGGTAACGAATATAACAAATACAGAGAGTCATCCAGGCAAGAAGACCCGCAACCGTACTAAGGTTAAGAAGCCAAGTGAATGCCTGTGCTGCGCCTCCCGAACCGAGACTTAGGTATGCTAGCGGACCGAATGCGAAGGATACGATGACAGCCCAGTATGGTACACCCCATCTGTTGACCTTAGCGAAACATTGGGGCGCTTGACGATCGACTGCCATGGCGACAATCATTCGCGCACCAATGTAACAGTAACTGTTTCCAGCGGACCAGGCGGAGGTAAGGATACATGCGTTGACAATAGATGGGAGGACGGAGATGCCGGCGTTCTTGATCGCGATGACGAAAGGTGAGGAATTGGCGTTACCGGTACCACTTACGAGAGCTGGATCATTGGAGGGGATGATCATTCCGATGAGAAGCGTACCGAGGACGTAGAAAAACAGGATTCGATAGGTAACACGCTTAACGGCCTTGGGGATCGATTTATGTGGATTTTCGGTTTCCGCAGCGGCGACAACGACGGTTTCAACACCGATGTAGGAGAAACTGGCGTTGATGAATGCACTGAAGAATGCGAGGAAGTTACCTTTGTTCCCGGTGATTCCATCGTAGGGAACGAATGGACCTGGATCTTTCCAATATCTAAACCCGACGGACTCGTGATTGGGTGCGCCTCCGGCTGTGATGACGATAGAGACGATAATCAATCCTAAGAAACAAAGAATTTTGATGGAAGCAGTGACGACCTCTGCTTCACCGTAGAACTTGACGTTGGCGATATTGATGAGGAAAATCGCGACGAGTCCTATAGAAATCACGAGAGCGGGTGTGATGTCTGTCCAGTAAGATACTACGATGGCGGCTGCTGAAACTTCCGAAGCAATAGCAATGGTGTAACAATAACCGTAAGAAATGGCGAGAGTAAATCCGAGAGCGGGATCGACGAATCGAGTTGCAAAATGGGGGAATGATCCAGCAGTTGGGAACTGTGACTTGTAAGCTTTTGTTTGGTGAATGTCAGGTGATTGATCTGTGAAAACGTACCAGAGTGGCCAGTTCACCAATTGACTCCATTACACACCAAAGAAGAAGACCGACAACACTGTAAGCCCTAAAACCACGTTAATACCAATTCGAGCATCGTAACATGGAAACCGACTAGGTGTTGACTTACAAGAGTAAACCCAAAGGACCAGCATTTGCTAAAGCTGCACCAGTACCGATGAAAAGACCCGTACCAATACCACCACCAAAACCAATAAAGGTAACATGTCTAGCCTTCAATCTTCTCTGTGTGTGTCCCACACCACCGACACCATAAACGGCATCCAGATGACCTGAAGCCGAATGAACTACCTCTCCATTTGCGATATCTGGTTTTCCCGGATTATCCAATGAAGTTTGAGACGGCGTCCCGTGGATACCCAATTCTTGTGAGGTGTAAGTCTTGTTCGACATGGTGGATACTTTGAATGCAGCTAAGAATTCAATTCTCTATTCACCAATACGATATAGACGCTTCTCAAAATAGATGAGAAGATGGATAGATGTTGTAGAATAATGGTAATGAAAATAAGAAAAAAGTGAGCGAAACATCAACGCGTCTGGATAACTTGACACTTTTATTCCCTGTTGAATAAAAATTCTCCATCCCTGATGGAAGCACGCCATCACCAAGATAGTTGTCGAAATATGAGAGAAATCCCTACGTTTAGTCTAGACATCGGGGACCATCCTGTCCTTTGAATAGTTGCCACAAAAAAATGAAATTCTCAAGTAATATTTTCACATTAGGACGAAAGCACGGGAGAAAAAGTTGATGGTAAGCATTCAGGGGTTTTACTTGGCTAGGCTTAGTTCGCGAAGGATTTTGCTTTAGTCCAACAGTCTAACCGTCGGAAATGATTTCATATTGCGGTGGATCTTCGGCATACGAACAAAAGATTGGGTCACATGTTGACCGTCGAACCATCCTTTGCGTTGCTTTGCTTACCTAACACCCACTCGATGGAAAGTTCCAACGCCGCCACTTTGCGTATTCGGTGGACACTGGTGGTGACTGGATGCTACCTAGGTGCTCCGTAGATGGTCGACTTGATGGAGGGCTTGGTGGGCTCGGTGGGCTTGATGGGCTCGATGAGCTCCTATACCGGATTGTTAGAATACCACCCGGATCATTATTCACGGAGCATCGATCGACTTCTCATTCGTTAGCTTTGTTGATGTGAGCCAATTGTCCCGCCCAAACATATCTACTTTCAAAGTTGCAAATCTTCTTCGCGTGTCCTCCATCTCCCACTAATGTCTTCTACCTTTGTGAGTCCCTCTTCGCGTCTTCTAGTGAAATCTTAGTAAATTGTCATGAACGAACTAAGTAACCGATCAAGGCTCAGCTAAAAGATATAAGGTTTTGCATCATGAAATTCTTTCACCGTAGGCATGCTCCGTAATGTATTCGTAGCGTATGATTATAGTAAATCCGGAGGGAAAAAAGGAAGAAAAATTCCAAGTTAAAACAAAAATAATGTTAAGTCAAGGTGGTCCTCAACTCGCAGAATGCGACTTCTGTGGATCGAACACAGTGCCTCCAGATTAATGAACCGAAGTGAACTTCAGTCTGGCGCTCTCCCAAGTGAGCTAAAGTCGCTGGCAGCTTGTGTTAATTGTTGAAAGGGCGACCAGATTATTGTAATATAGAGGAAGTTTTGATGCGGTGAGAGTTCTCCTTCCTTATATACCACGCTTTTTGAGTTCGAAGGCGATATGACACTTTCCTGTCCTGTCCTGTCCCGTACTAGGTGTGCCATATCCATTTCCATTTCTCACAAAGGTCACTCCATTTTCAACAAGTGACCTTTGTTGGGAAATCTTATTTTAAGCATGGAGCGGTGCACGACAGCCAGTCGATGTAACAATGGATGTAGATTGCATATCATGATGCAGTTATACCAGCCACTTGGGCGAGCGTGAGAATTGTTGACCTTGCAACTCCTCAAGATAATATATTTGTAATTACCTGGATAAGAGCTAATATCTTACACTGAAATCCAATAACTAATCGTTCACCTCTATTCATAATCCAACCGCTGGGTATCTATAACGCCATAGAGAAATGCTCGCTATCTCTTCCTCTCTCTCTAATCAATTCTCTGCTTCTTATCTCTTCCTATCTCTTCGTCTCTCTCTATTCAATTCTCTGCTCCCTATCCGGCGCGAGTAAAGGATCTTCTTCATCTAATGTTGTATCACCTCCATTTCCTTTGTACAGAATATAATGCTGAACAATGAAAATTACATCGAAGAAGATGCTCACGTTGCCCAACATGAGTTTGACCGGATTGCCCGTTACTCCCGACCAATCTCCCTGGAGGTAACTATCAATTCCTAATTGTAAAATCGATAGAACTCCACCTGCGAAATCGAGTAATATTCCCCCTATTGACCAGCCAGTTGTGGATCGATTGCGATAATTCGTAAGAACTTGCGGCATATATTTAACAGTCGTGATAACAAGTTTGACATATGATATGACATAAACCTGTGAAAAATGATGTTAGCACAAGTGTAACCAGATGTAACCAGATGATGCAGCCTCATGTCAACTTACCACATCGATCCATGCCCACCCTCTTACAACATCTTCATCCTGTCGCGCAATGACAATAACCACCGAAGTCGCGACTCCAACAATGCATGCTACCGACAAACCCATAATAGATTTGCTGACTCTTGCGCCAGGCCCCCTTTTACCTCGTTTATCAAATCCCCAAATTGATGGTTCATATTGTGATATTATGACAAAGCACATAAAGAGGGCGTGAACTGCGAAAGCGAGATCATTGAATTGAACAGTTGGGGTATGCCCATTATTTCGCAAAGCATATTCACGTCTGATTTCTGGCGCATAAAGGAATGAGACGGTAGATACAAAGTATGCAGCAAAGCCTAGCACGTTGAGGAACGGGAAATCGATTGCGGCTCCTGAAGTAGATTTGCGCCTAAAGTTCAAGATTGGTTGGGGATAAAAAGATAGCGACCAACATGTTGTGTATATCCAACCGAATAAATAGGAAAGAAACTGAAGGAATGCAGTGGTCATTGTGAAGACTATGTCATGGATAGCGACAATATATAAATGAGGGTATCGATGTCAAAGAATTCAGTAAATGAAGAGTCAACATGATCGAGGTCTCATCCAAGTAGGCCATCACGTGTGAGCACGTACTAAATTTAGAGTAACATTGAATGATTCAATTCATCCCGGAGGGTACCGGGATTGTAGCGTGGAATTTTATCTTGATCTTATCGCAATAGTCAGTGCTGTTGACTTGATATCTTATCAGATTGATGAGATCCCTTTATCCGTGTATCACTTCACAAAACACTTCATGTCACTAACATCGTCCATTGTTCGAAGAGACTTCAACGAAAAGACTTCAACGAAAATCTCTAGTTTTTCATACGTCCTCATACAATTTTACAACAGTACATCGAGGTTGCTACTGCAACAATAGAAGAAGTGCCTCGCTAACCATGCCGCCTCTCACATTCCTTGATCTCCCAGGAGAAATTCGTAACCACATCTACCAATTACTTCTCATCATCCCACCCATATCAATACCCCGCCGTCTAGGAACTGATCCACATATATATCCACAAATTCTATCCATCTGTCGAAAAGTCCATGATGAAGCCGAACAAATTCTTTATGGTAGCAATGTCTTCATAGCACATCCCAACCTCCTTACGGGACTGCCGCGCTTGCGTTGGAAATATGATACTATCAGCTCCTCCAAATTGATATCCATCATCAAAAAATACTATATAATCGTTCGACTGGATTGCGATCCGAATTTCTCTGCAAAGAAAGCAGAAGAAGCTTTTAGCGAGGTGGATGAATTGACAATAAGGGTTGAACAATCTGCGTTTAGGGGTTCAGATTATAAGGTTCTGAGACTCTTTGAGGGTGTGCGAGGAGTGAAGAAAGTAAGGATCTATGGGAGTGTGACTGGTTTTCCTGCATATGTTGAATGGTTGCAGGGAGTGATGATGACGCCGAAGAAAGTTGATGTTGCACCGTTTCAAAGCGAGAAGAGTAATCTCATCAGCGATCCTTGGGATGGAAGTTGAGATGTTCTGTCTAAGTTGTGCTCGCGCCCGCTTTATCTTCACTTCAATAGTTGGATCTGAAATGGATGGCTATACAGTTGTGACGTTAAGTCAATTTCATGGAAACTTGCACACTGGAGCTTGCATATTGCGTGTGTTGCAAATAACAAGTTACCATACAACTTGCACGATGCAAGTAAGATTACATTGGATCTTTCAAACATCCACTCAACGCGAGCACAGCATGAGAACAGGCCCGGCAAATACACCTTTATCAGGGCAACTACATGATCTATGGGATCACTGGTGGGTTTCAGCTGTGCTCCAACTTGATCAATGTAGTCCATTAGCATTCGACATCAACCAAACTCCTAGTACATGGTTTTTTCTGTCTTTTTAAAAGACTCGAAGTCCTTGGAGGATCCATCCTTGATATGAATGTAATATTCCTAGTGAGCTGAACACGTAAGATTAAGCAAAACTTCTACATTAGCAGACGTTTGCAAAAGGGATGTTGAAGATTTCAGACAATTCCAATCTTGCCAGGGAGTCCATATTTCATTTGATTGAAGTCTCCCTGATGAAGATGAAGATGAATTGAAATTGTAAATTCGGTTGGAGCTTCTAGACAATTTGAATGTTTGAATGAGTTCAATCTCTCAGGTGAATTGAAACTGTTGGGATTGGTTGAAGATTTCAAACGAGCTTTTTCGGCAGAGACACTCGATAAACTCCATCTATCGTCACCGACACACATTTAAAATACAATTTTGATTCACCTTACAATTGATATTATGACGGGGCATGATGATGTATTGAATACTGTGGAGGAAATGTTATAAGACGAAGGTGGGAATATATTTCTTACTTTCTGAACAACCTCTTACCTTTTTTTTTTCCACCAACAGAGCTGTTTCCCGGAATGGTGGGAAGCTACAGAACAACAAACATCGATTCTCTTCTTCTCGCAACTTCTCTCTACTACAACAACTTTATTCGACAACCATTTTTCTAATCATACTTCGATCTATTCTTCCAATAATACTCAACATTCAAAGTCCTAAATATGGCCTCCAACAGCGATTGTCCCTTCTTGAATAAGGTTCCTTTAGAAGTCAGGAATCAAATCTACAAAGAACTACTAGTCAACAAGATTTTGGGCTCTGCAGATTCTGTATCCAGAAGTGCGAGCTATGGAGCTGATACGAAGTACGACTTATCCCCACAGGTATTGAGAGTCTGCCATCAAATTTACGCCGAGGCCGTGGATGTTCTATACAATGGAAACACCTTCTATATCGCGTGCTTTCGGGTAGATAATCACCTTTCTATGGATATGGATACAGGAAGTGATGATGAAAATCCAACGGCTGTACAGTACGTCGAAGGACCTCTTGTGGAGCTGTGCCCTCTTACGAGATATCAGAACAACCAAAGCAGAATCCCATTCCCGATTCCAAATCTTGGTAATTACTCTACTGTTCCGAGAGTTCGCAAGTGGCGTGTGGTAGTTAGCAGGCTCACATCTGCTGGTGGCAGTTGGGACCCAATTTGGAGTTTACGTGACTTTTGCGAAGTCATCTTTCAAAATCCTCCGCTATCGCTGGAACTATTGATTCTGCCTTGCGGCTTGGACTATGGTTGGAACAACAATTATTCTTTCGACAGCTACGAACAGATCTTGAAGCCTTTGAAAATCCTCCGCAATTTCCAGACATGTGCAATCAGAGAAGCTCGCGCGACCGATGTTCCTGATATCATTAAACTCGCTGATGATGGGATGGTGAAGAAATTTACAGAGGGAGATCAAGCTCTAGCAGACTGGGAACTTCCTATGGATTTGAAGATGGAGATAGAAATACTTATGACCGGTCAGCAGCCCCTAGATGTCCGCCACATGATGCATAAGAACCTCGTGGCTTACGCGCGAACCTTTGAGCGGCATCGACCTTACAAAATGCAAATGGGCTTAAGACGAGAGGATATCACACGGATTGACTCTAGGTGTCTCGAGTACGCTGAGTTCCTCGACACAGGTTCTTTCAATCCTTTTATCGAACCAACCCTTCATCCACTTGAATTCGAACTTCGCAACTGTCAAGACGCCGTCATGAATTCAGGCGAAGACGAATGGACATTCAAAGAACATCGCAAGCACGCCCTAACGCATCTCGAGCGACAATGGAATCAAATCATGATAGCAAATCATGAACTCACAACGTTTATAAAGAAAGAGAAAGTTCCCGGCGGCATATTCGATGCTGTTGAGAGAAAGAATGAACAATTAGGATTCTCAAACAATACATGGGAAGTGCGAGATCCAGATAGGGAACAAAAGATTTGTCTCGCTTTAGTATACCTCAAGCGCTACGCAAAAGCTTTCAAAAGACATTTAACCTCTGCAATAGAATCCCAGATCCACTTCCAACGAGATCTCTACAACAGCCATTACAAAAACCTACCACGCGATCGTCTGATCAAGCACTTAATGACAGATCACCAAGTCGGCAAAACCCGGCACTTCATCACAAAGTTCAGCACGGCGGTCGACATGTGCGATCAACAATATCTCGAGATCTTGACGGCACGAAAGGCGCTCTTCGACTACGACGGATTGGGCGAATATGAATGCGGAGATTTCAATTTACATAAGGGATTGTCGGTGGAAATGATTGATTGGAGCGTTAATGAGCGGGATATGACGCCGCAGCAATCGTTGGATTCGGATGATTATTATGGCGAGGATAGTGATGATGAAGGTGATTGGTCTAGTTATCTCTGAGCTTCTGGGTCTGGGTCTTTTGAGCTGGATATTGTTTGCATCGAACAGCGTGGATGATTGCTTTCATGACATGGGGTTTTCATTGTTTTCATTGTAGGAATAATACAAGCGGGTCTTTATTTCAAGGATTATAGGGGTTCCCTTTTGTGTTGTGACTTTAGTTTGTGATTATCTGTTTAGGGGCATTTGAGAAATTCAAGGATGGAATGACTTGATTATTGAATAAATGGGTCTTCGAAGTAGGAGGAATTTTCCTAAAATGTTTGAAAGCTTTAATATTGAAATCTGAAACATTGTATATCCACTTAACACATTCAAGCGCTCAAAAATATGAGGGTCTTCACAAATATCCATTCTAGAAAAGATACATGCGACAAAGATGACCCAACTCAAAGAAACAGAAACGATCTGCAAAACCAACGTAGAATTGCAACTACTAAAGGGGAATCCTGCATCACGCACTAAACGCCCTCGTCAATGTGCAACCGATGCACTCCCCGATTCTAATTGTGACGCCAGCCCAAATACCACTACCTCGTTCTGCCTGTCCTAAAATGAAACGCAACCCAATTGAGACCATTGATTCGACTAGCCTTTGGCTCAATTCCGATCAATACTATCCAGCTCTGGGAAATACTGCGCTATTTTATTTCTGCTATCAGAATTTTTGGTCAGTTCTGGTGTATCAGGCGTATCTATGTAATCTACTCCTGATATTCCACTTGATGATCCAGCATTCATTGCATTAGCTGGTATTTGTACAATTGCAGGAGCAGGAGCCGCGGCACGTTTCTTTTTGGTGTTGCCTTGTTCTCCAGACTTGTTGGATGAAATTGAGGGACGAGATGCTGCTGGTGTGGCATGTCTAATATCTGAGATTGCTGGTGTATGTGATGCGTTATTCACCGTATTCGGATCATAATTTTCTCTTGGTGATAGCATAGCCGATGATGGATTAATTGTTCTGGCAAGTGATTGATGTAATAGTGTAGATCCAGTTGGAGCTGGTGTAGGAGCTGGCGTTGATTTTTCATTGGTAACGAGGCCCTTATCAGTAACGAATTGAGAAGATCTCGAATGATACGGGTTGTGGTTATAATACTCGTCGATAATCGGATGTACCATAACAGTTTGCTTGTGAATTGTCAAAGTGGAGTTGGTTGGGACTGTCACCCAGCTTTCTGTAAATGTATTAGAAATGTCTACTCCACATGGCTGCAGTAATAGTGCCACCAGACAAGCGAGTAAATGAAAATGCAGGATTTTGACGAGAGCCCCTGAAGAAATTTGAAAAATAAATCACTAGCCACCACACGAACTAGTCGAGATTTAGTCCTCGCCTGATTTTCGCCTATCTGCTGATGTGCAACATAAAGACGATTTTCCAATTCTAAGTTCTCGTTTGGGTGATCTTCACGGGACCAAAGTCTTCAGTCAATAGAACTCGGTTGTGGCAATGCCTACCGCTTTTTATCTTGGCCCTTGGCAAGATGAAGCAGTGGAGTATGGGATACAGAAGTAGGAAATAAGTGAGAATAATTACCTCTTTCGAATGTTAACGGTTCACTTGCAACGAGGACGATATCAGCACCCTTATCACGACGATCCATTTGATATTCGCCCTTGTTACTTTTGTCCTCCCATGTAGTGCCGGAAGAGTAGTACAGACTAGCTGCCTCATCGGTTTTGCTACTGACATAACGAGTACAGACAATGCTATGTCCGTCGGTTATTGCAAAATTCAACAAGCTTCGAATGTCCAGGTTTTCTTCCTCGATCGTCTTCTCTGGGATTGCGGCAATGAAATCGTTGATCTGCTTAATGGTAGCTAGCATGGCATGCCTTAAAACAGTTGGACCAAATCCCTCGGCTGGTGGAGCACTTGGGTTATGACCCATTCTCTCGAGTGTATCTAGGTACAATGCGAATGCCCATTCACTGTCGGTTCCTCCGTGAACTCCAAGATACCATTTGTCGGCCAGTCTTTCACCCAGGCGTCTTTTTATGTGTTTCCAACCACCCAATCCACCATTATGCATCCACATCAAACTGCCGTGGGAGAAAGGGTGGCAGTTATCATCGCTGAGGGAACCTTCGGTCGTAGCTCGTACGTGAGCAAATATGAGTGGTGAAGCGGTCTTTGAAGCAATTCGTTGAAGGTTGATACAGTTCCACGCAGGAATAGTAGATGTGAAGATACATGGCTCAGGTCCAAGTTCAGGTTCTGTGTAATAACCAATACCAAATCCATCGCCTGCAAAAATTATGAGTCACCGTGTTCACGAATCACGAAGATCAGAAACTACTAACCATTGTGAGGTCTTCTCATGTCCAAACGAAGACGAGAGTCGAAAGACTGGTTGAGAATTGAGTGGGTGGGTTCCAAAATAATTTTAGAAAGCAAGATGGCATCTGAGCCTTTATATACCTTACTATCATGAGTATTCTGCTGCTATGCAAGAGTTGAAGTTGTTTGGCTCACCAGAAAGCGACACATCTTGTCTTTCGTCGAGGTTTAGGTTCTTGAGACTTCGATACTCTGGGGGCAATTCTCCGGAAATTCAGTGAATACAAATAGGATATGGTTGTGCAATATATGTTGCTAATAAGTCAAGGAACGTTGGAAGTTGTTTGCTCACACTCAAGGGAGCAATCGCGAGGCTGAAGGGGAAATAACGGTATGGCGTAATCTGTTGGGTGCTGAGACATAAATTGAGATCCAAGCCCAACGGATAAAAGAAGCAAGCTGAGAAATTCCAATTTCGGCAGCAGTTTCGTTTATAATATGTAGATCCAAGAGTATGTACAACAAGGAGTTGAGGATATGTAGAGGAGATTTAGCAAACAAAATATTATAATTGTTGTGGAGTTGTTATCGTCTGATAACCCCTCAAGGCTGGACATTATGGGGGTTTCCTTTGATCTCATTCCCTCTCAGCCGCCCGCCAAAATTGAAGTTCGTTATCAAGCCACAATCACAGCTCACTAGCCACAGATATTGCACGCCACTTCTGATTCGACCTTTATTCATGCAAGAACATGTGGAATCAAACACCCATATACTAAGTGGACAACAAAACCAGCAGAATGAAATTTGTTGCTTCGTGATTTTACACTTCCCTAAAGGATTGATACAATCTTAAGTTTGCCCAGTATGAGTGGGAGGCTGCTATCGGCGAGGCTTCTGCCCGCAGCTCAACGTATCAACTCGCAATCTGCCAGACATTTCCATCATAATGCGGTATCTACTGCTGGTGGTCTACTCAGATCAGAATCCGCCGTTCGTATTGCAAGAGGAAGATTATGGCCGGCAGGACATACACCATTCTCTAATGCTGTAGTCGTTCGAAATGCTTCATTTGTTCGCATCCTACCAAACATATTGTTGAAGTTTGCAAGAATACCTGCTCTTTTCGCCGGAGTGACTGTTGGTGGTTTAGCATATATTCAATACCAGGCCACCCGTTAGTTTATCCGCTCCTCCTTCTGAAAGCGTGCTAACTTTAGACATCTGCAGAGGCTGGTAATTATGTTGCAGACATCTTCAACTCAACGACGAATACTGTGTCTGGAGTAGCAGGTGGTTTGTTCGGCAGTGCAAAAGATATTGCAAGTCAAACGCGAGAAGGATGGGAGAAAACAAAAGAATCTGTTGAGTTGCCGGAGTGGATGCAAAAGGTGTTACGGATTCATGAAGAGATTGGGGAAGGAAGTGGTGGAGGTGGGGGTGGGGCCCTGGCGGGGAACCACCTAAACAAAGTAGAATGGGAGCTGCAGCTGCAGGAGGAAGTGCTGCCGCCTACGGATATGATCAATATTCAGAAGACGATAGATCTCCTGCAGTTGCTGCCCGAGATGATCAAATGATGGTTTTGACCAAAAAAATGATTGAGATCAGAACTATATTGCAGACTGTGGGACAGTCAAACGCTCTTACTTTACCATCAATTGTGGTTATTGGTTCACAATCATCGGGGAAAAGCTCTGTGCTAGAAGCAATCGTAGGACATGAATTCCTACCAAAGGGTTCAAATATGGTTACACGACGACCCATAGAGTTAACCCTCGTCAACACCCCTGATTCACAGGCGGAATATGGAGAATTTCCCGCTCTTGGTCTAGGAAAGATTACCGACTTCTCGCATATCCAGAGGACATTGACGGAATTGAATTTGGCCGTTCCTGACACAGAATGTGTTTCCGATGACCCAATTCAGTTGACCATCTCGTCACCCCATGTTCCTGACTTATCCCTCATCGATCTTCCTGGATATATCCAGGTTGTTGGTGAAGATCAACCTGCGCAACTGAAGCAGAAAATAGCCGATTTGTGTGACAAGTACATTCAACCTCCTAATGTTATTCTTGCTATTTCTGCTGCAGACGTGGATTTAGCCAACTCAACTGCTTTACGAGCAAGCCGAAGAGTTGATCCACGAGGTGAACGTACTATTGGCGTCATCACAAAGATGGACCTTGTCGATCCTGCTAGAGGAGTCTCCATCCTCAATGATCGAAAATACCCCTTAAGGCTCGGTTACGTTGGTGTTGTGTCACGAGCACCACAACAATCACAAACTAGATCATTGTTCAAAGCAGGAAATGGAAGCATCTCGGAAGCCATCATCAAGAATGAGCACGCATTCTTCTCATCTCATCCTGTGGAGTATGGACCTGATGCTGGCCTAAATGTTGGTACTACCACTCTCCGTAAGAAGCTTATGCATGTACTCGAACAAACCATGGCGGCGAGTCTTCAAACTACTAGTGATGCCATCCACCAAGAGCTTGAAGAAGCGACTTATGAGTTCAAGGTTCAATATAACGACCGACCTCTGTCTGCAGAATCTTACCTTGCCGAGAGCCTCGACGCTTTCAAGCATTCATTCAAGGAATTTGCCGAAACTTTTGGACGACCACAAGTTCGTGAGATGCTAAAAGAAGAGCTTGATCAACGAGTGTTAGATCTTTTAGCAGCACGTTACTGGAACAGACCTATCTCGGATCTTTCACCTTCATCACCAGAACCTAATACCCTAGCCGAGCTCCCAACAGCTGACCCAGACTCCCTATTCTGGCACCGTAAACTCGATGCCTCTACTTCTGCCCTCACGAAACTTGGTATTGGCCGTCTTGCAACTCAAGTTGTAGCCAATGCAATTCAAAGCCATGTTGATCGGTTAATATCTCAATCGACGTTCGCTGCTCACCCATTTGCTCGTCAAGCTATCACCGATGCTGCAGCTGGCATTTTGAATGAGAGGTTCTATAGTACAAGTGATCAAGTTGAGAACTGTATAAAGCCATATAAGTTTGAAATCGATGTTGAAGATAGTGAATGGTCACGAGGCAGAGAAAATGTCACCTCTGTGTTGAAGAATGAACTCAAAGCTTGTGAAGATGCATCTAAGAATTTGGAGCAACATGTTGGTGGAAGAAAGAAGTTAAGAGATGTGATGAGTTTTGTGGATAAAGCTAGAAAGGGTGAAATTATTGTTGATGGTGACGCTAGTGGTGCTGGTGGATTCAGTTCTGCTTTATTGCAAAAAGGTATTTTCATATCCTCTTCTTCCACCTTTTATGCAAATTGCTAACACTTCAATCAGGTCGTGAAGCGGTCTTCCTCCGCGATCGCTCCACCCTTCTTGCTCTCCGACTCAAAGCCCTCAAATCCACCCAATGTGCCTCCCTCAAAAACAAGTACTATTGTCCCGAAGTCTTCCTCGACGTCGTCTCCACCAAACTCACTTCAACTGCTGTTCTCTTTTTAAACGTCGAACTTCTCTCCGAATTCTTCTACCAATTCCCTAGAGAATTGGATCAAAGGTTAGGCAGAGGTTTAACAAAAGAAGAAGTTGAGAAATTTGCGAGAGAGGATAAGAAGGTTGAGAGACATCTAGAAGTTATTAGGAGGAAAGAGTTATTGGAGTTGGTCTTGGGGAAAATGGAAGGGTTGAGGGATTTACGCGAGTTGGATAATGGGGAAGCGAGGAGACCTCAGAGGGGACCCAAGAATGGGAGAGGAGGACCTGGAAAGGAGGGTGTGAGGGGCCCTGGTGGGAAAGAAAATGGAAGGGGTGGATGGAGTTTGTTTTAGTTGATAAAACGTTTTGGCGAAAATGGAATGTGAAGGGGAGGTTGGATTGATGGAGAATTATTAGCAGGCGAGCAAGCGAAAGCAACCAACAAATGATTACGGCGTTAGGGATTGATTGAAAAGGAATAGTACGAAAATATTGTATATCCTTGTTTGGGTCGATGGTTGTTTGGTGGTGGTTGTCGAGGAGACACCTATTCCTTTATCCGCTCTACATGACATGATGAATGCAACGACTTTTTTTTTATGTTCTCAGTCTTACCTGGCATCCATTGTGTTTTACGTGCATATGTCCTAGACTCAAATGTGAAGATTCGAATTTGCGGGAGGCAATGAAGATTTGGAGCAAGATGCCGTGATGAGTATGCAAATAATGGTATATTGAATGTGATCAATGCTATATGCGCTACGAATCATTGCCCCCTTTTCCATGAAAACCGTGGATGCGCCTTGTTACATCAAGAGGTGAATTGGAACCAGATATCTATTAATGGATGCCAATTGTCCAGTCCGACCAATACTCATAATCGTTGGCTCATACAAGAAGAATAAACATGAAAGATACCCTAATAAACTCATTTACCATCAACAACCAATTGCGTCGTTACTTCCCATTTCATCCCTCCACCTTGTCCATATCCACCCCCAAGTCTATTTCTAATTAATGTCTTGATCTTCTCTCTTAATTTCAATACATTTCCTTCATCGCCCCTGACTCTTAATTTGAGATTTGCCATACACAATCCATAATGTACTTGCCAAAATCTCGCTTCTTCAACTGTGGAAACTGTGGGTTCGGACTCAATTTCCTTCATAACTTCTGAAACTCCAGCACCAGAGTAGGACATCAAAAGCATGAGTCCCTGAGCGGTAGCTAGACGGACACCGAGAAGGAACATGGAGACCGCGATGACGGTGCAGAGAAGACGGTCGAGCCAGATATAGAGAGAGATGGTTAAGAGAGGAAGGAGAAGCATGATGGTGCTGCAACTCAGAGTTAGGAAATGCGAAGGATTTGAGAGAACGGAAGGGAGAAATGATATATAGGCGAAACGCATTGCTTTTCCTATTCGTGCGTGGTTCTTAAGCCCAATTGCTGAGACGAGAGTCGCTACTATTGAGAGTAAAGCGGCGGTATCAACCGAGCCGGGACTAACTCGTTGATGGGAATGAGGGTGATGAGGGGAATGGTCGCCTAATCCTTCCAGAACATGTTTTAGGTTGTGAGATATAAGGTCAAAACCCATAAAGAGCAGGAAAACCGACATGGCGAACCCCGCTAACACTTCTGCGCGTTCGAGCCCGAATGGATGACGGATAGAAGATCGTTTCCATACTTCGAAATTGCAGAATACATCCACCACGACACAAATTGTGGCAGATACGGCATCGAAAAATATAAGATGGGATAGTGCGGTAAGGGCGAGAGAACCTTGGGCGCTATAGAGGACGAAGGCAGATATTAAAGCGTGGCAGAGACACCAGGTTATTCGCGTAGTTTGTTCTTTGGACATGCTTTTCCATGCTTCTTTGAAGGTGGGTATGGGGAGAGAGGCGGGGAGTGCGAGGGGTGCTCGAGGAGGTGGTTCGAGGAAGATTTGATGTTGAGTTGAGACACTACTGTGTTTATATCTATGACCCTCCGCTGGCCAATATTCTGGTACATTGTGTCAGTTAAGAGATCTAATGTCATTATTTAACATTCGCATACCGATTTGGCAACTGGCGCATCTTTTATAGTTTGAGTCTGAAAGTTAAAAGGATTCGCAGCTCCTCTGGCAGGTGGTACACTCATCATTCCGTCTGGTTGAAGGTTGGGACTTGAGAAGCCCGAAGGAGGAGACATTGGGGTTCCCATTGAACCAAATCTACCTGAGTTTGAGAATGTAGGTGAGAGAGCATTGGGATCCAAAAGTATCTCCGAGTGCACGGTTCGTGAAGTGACATCTTGGTGTTCCCATGTATATCTGCCTTGCTCTTGTGGAATAGGAGTTGGAGGAGTGGGTGTCCTCGGGGGTGCTGGAATAGGAAGGCTCGAAGCCATGGTTTGATATTTAATAATTTTCGAGTTTCATGAAAACACGGTTCATCAATTGGTTGAAGATATCATCAATTCATCCATATATTATGCGCAATTGGCACGAAACGTTTCGTAATTCGTCATGGAAAGTGGTTGTGATATATAAATGGATCTGGTAATCTATCTGCTTCCTATTTTGGATATCTAGACCAGGGATAAGTGTCACCGCCCGGCATTATGCAAGACGGTTGAGTTACGTAAGCTAGATTTTACCTCAATTCAACCTCGTTTGATATTAAGCTTAAGCAAAGCTCTAGACCCAACAGACCCCATATTCAAAGCTTTCTCCATCACAACCATCAGAACTATATTCATTTGAATATATTCATGAACATCTTTCGATACGGCAGTCTAAAAGACTCTGGATTGTCAGATTTACTTGAACATCATACACTCGGTATTTTGATTGTTATCGACATTTGAAGCTCCCATCCTCGGTATAACACGTTCAATTTCCTCAAGCGCTTAGACGCTCAGCAACCATCTGGGAAAGCCAATTAGATCACTACATCTACTTATTTAAACTGTCACTACAGCAGAGTCAATCACGAGTTGGAATGTGAAGCTACGAAACCACGTGTCCTTCGACCATCAGAAAATTGTGGACGAAGCTTGCGCTCTTCAACATTTGCGTGAAGAACTCATCCTAGAAGCGCAAACGTATATCTTCTCGGCATGAATCTACTTTCGTAACATTTGTTACCAGAGTCATTTACGAAATTATGGAGAAAGAAGTTGATTCAAATGGTATTTCTCATGACCATGCTGGGGAATTAGTCAACGAACCCGAAGAAATACAAGCCGAGCCCAAGCAGGGGGGGCACAGAAGAACATTATCTGGAAACATCATGTCTAAACTATCATTTTTATCAGGGCCCCGCAGTCCAGAATCTCCGCCTCGGGACGAACCAATGTCACCAAAGCGATCGACTAGTAGAGCTATGGCTGTTGCAGTTCAACAGCAGAAGACTAGAAGAAGAAAGGGCTCATTGAGAAAGGTTGCACTTCTTGGTCGAGGAGCTCAAAGAGATAGGAAAGAGTCCAAAACCATTCCTCTTGATTCCACGCAACATAGTCAATATTCTAACAACACAATGCTAAATCCCGCTTCACCCGAGAACATTCGACCTGTGAATGGTCTTGGATTGGGAATATCTGACGAAACCCCCCGTCCTTCCATGGATGGTTTAGCCAACAGAAATAATAACACTTTGCTGCCACCTATCAAAACTCTTCCCATGGGTGCTAATGACCATATCGTCACATCACCAACGACAGCCACGAGTCCAACTCTAACCTATACATCTACTACGGATGAAGAGGACTTACTCAGTATTCCATCACATAATCTACCAGCTGCAGCTCGTGGAGGACCACCATCATCTGGTTCAGATTCATACTTTCCACCCGGTGCAGGCTCTATAATTCGTCGTCGGCCATCTCAAAAACAGAAATCTCCATTATCTATAGGTGGACTCGCCGCAAGTCCACTCCCTTTACCAGATGCCGAATGGGATTACTCGGAAACTGAATGGTGGGGCTGGGTTATACTAATTGTAACATGGATTGTGTTTGTTACTGGTATGGGTTCATGTCTGGGGGTATGGAGTTGGGCTTGGGATGTTGGAGAAACTCCTTATGCACCTCCTGAGTTAGAGGATGATCCAACATTACCAATTGTGGGATATTATCCTGCATTGATTATTTTAACGTCAGTAATGGCTTGGGTATGGGTAGTTGTTGCTTGGGTTGGTATGAAATACTTTCGGCATGCGAAAATTAGTGGGGATTGAAATGCTATATTTAATGATAATGTTAATTTACGGATGAAGGTGTATTTAAGGGGTTTATAAAAGTCTTGTCGATGAGCACGTCAAGTGAAGATTGACTCAAAAAAACAAACGCAAATCAACGGATATGTTCAACATACAATGGAAATGAGAATCGCCATGAACGATCAATGAGCACATGAATTATTTGACTCTTCTCTTCATTTATAGAGCTCCCATCCGAGGAAGAGGTGGGAGGCTGGCTATGATCTGATGGATCTGATGTCGCAGATCATTGTTGAGCTATAGATACCATCAAGTTTATCACCAAGTTTGGTAATAGATATCTTGTCGCCTTTCGATGTGCTAGTATTCGTGTGCGGGATGATACCTATATCCAGATGGCTCATATGATGAGACGTGTACAGGCGTTCCCCGTTGATAGGAGGAGAATATTTTTCCTGTTCGTGCAGAGGAATATTCATTATTCCCTTGATTATGTCTGAAATGATTATTACTTTACCAAGTAGAGATTGTGTGGTATACTGTTCTTGCATGCTGAGCAGGTACTAGAAGGGATGTGGATTCGCTATTAGAATCCGAACGGTCAGATTCAGTAGCCCGGAGATCCTGATCTTTGAATCAAGTCCCTAGATTTCACGCGAATGAAATATCAAAAAATGACAATTTCTACTCGTGAGAGGAAGGAGGACAATAGTATATTAAGGCTTAAGAAGTAGACCCTTTGCTTAGGACGGACATGTATCCGCTGATAAGACAGCACTTGCTATTTTTGTTAACTGAGAAGATCGCATTCGTAACATAACAACATGCGACTGTATACTTTTCTCATGCTTCATCGTGCTTCAACAACGAAATCATGTCAATGAATACAACATAATCAATAGAAACGAGTTAATAGGTGGAATTGAATGCAATGAATATTCTCTCGAGCACATCTTTCATAACTTGCACAATTATATGCCAGGGCGGTGAAATCTTAGCGCCAATCATAATTTGTCCGAGCTCGAAAAAAAGATTCCCGCATCAAAAAATAAATCTCGAATTTCACAAGCTCAGTAACCAAAACATTCGATCCTCAATTGACAGTGCACAACACCGTCAAAATGGTTACCAAAAGTAAATTGAAGATGGCGCTTGCAGCCGACAAGAAAACCGATTTCCAAAAACAACATCAAAAGAAACAGGCTAAACTTGCGAGAAAGGGAAAGCCTGCGAAGGTTGAGGAGAAGAGCTCAAAGAAGGGAAAGGTTGAACAGGAATGGGAAGATGTTGAGGAAGAAAGTGGTGATGAGGAGGATGAGGATGCTGAAGAGGGTGATAGTGAAGATGATGAGGAAGAGGAGGAAGGAAATGGTCCTACTGAAGTATTTGCGCTTTCAAATTCTATTGTTTACCAATACTAATTATCATATAGATTGATTTCGCAGCAATTGACGAAAGTGATAGTGATTCTTCCCTTGGTGGAGACGACGATGAAGAAGAGGATGACGAAGACGAAGATGATGAAGATATCCCCATGTCCGACCTTGAAGATCTTGAAGATGAAGAAAGAGAAGATATGATCCCTCATCAACGTCTCACCATAAACAACACAATTGCTCTTACCGCAGCCCTCAAACGAATCGCCCTTCCAGTCGCCAATCTCCCATTCTCCGAACATCAATCTATTACATCTGCTAAACCTACGGAAATCGAAGATGTTTCTGATGATTTGAAGCGCGAATTGGCATTCTATTCGCAATCACTCGAGGCTGTTAAATCTGCGCGATTGCTCTTGAAGGCAGAAGGTGTTTCATTTACCAGACCTACCGATTATTTCGCGGAAATGGTAAAGGCCGATGAGCATATGGAGAAGATCAAGAGAAAGTTGATTGATGAAGCTGCTGGAAAGAAGGCATCTGCAGATGCAAGGAAACAGAGAGATTTGAAGAAATTCGGAAAGCAAGTTCAAGTCGCCAAATTACAAGAGAGAGACAAAGAAAGGAAACAAACTTTGGATAAAATCAAGACTTTGAAGAGAAGTATGTCGCAATCCATTTTCAAAGTAGTTTGATGACATATACTAACAAACAACAGAACGTCAAGGTGCCGACAATGAAAATACAAATGAAGCAGATCTCTTTGATGTTGCTCTTGAAGAAGAAACTAAATCTACTGGTGGTCGAAATGATCGTAAGGGAGGACCAAACAAGAGACAAAAGAAAGACGAGAAGTTCGGACATGGTGGTAAGAAGAGATTTAAGAAGAGTGGTGACGCGATGAGTAGTGGAGATTTGTCTGGATTCTCGGTCAAGAAGATGAAGGGAGGTGGTGCTAAGGGTGGTGCTAAATCTAGACCTGGAAAAGCTAGGAGAGCGGGTGGAAAGAAATAGTGTGGTTAATATGAAAGGGAAAAGTATCAAGGGGATAATTTGAGATTGGCGTTTTGGGGATCATGGAATGCATGTTCAATTGTTTGGGAAGATGTAGGACATGTGTGTGAGAGGAATAACAGAGGAGGTGCTGTAGAATACCATGAATGTCTTTGTCTTCATTATTTCTATTTCTTGGAAGTGAGGATGTCAAATTTGGGGGCTAGGGCGGCTTTCAATGTGAATGTGATTCGAATACTCCAGTTAGGAATTAAATGCTGGCATTGATCAGTATGAAACTTCTCCTCGAGTGGAGTTTCCCACATCAAAGTTGACATACATATATATATACATATGCCCTGCACCTTTGCTTTCCTCTTCGCATTGTTCCTTGCTCAACTTATTATCAAAATTCATATTTTCACTTCGGGCATCTCAACCATTTCAAATTCCTCGAAGCATTCGTTTGTCCACTCCATCATTTATTCCCCTTCCTCCCTCTAGTTTCCTCTCCTCGTTATTTCTAACTATCATTCATTTCAAATCCATACGCTTACCTCAAATATCTCAAATTCCTCGAAGCATTCATTTGTACATTCGGCTATTCATTTGTTTATTCATTTCCCTCCCACCCTCCCCTCGTCTCTTTCAATTTCCTTTCTATATCTTTCCTCACTCCTATGTACTATCATTATCAAAATTCGGACTCTCGCCTTGAATATGTCAGATCCTTATCAAGGCATTCATTCAGTCGTTTCGTCATTCATTCGTTTAGTTTCCTCAAGTAAGTAAGCACAACCCGCGAATTTAGCTTGCTACT